GGACCTCAAGGCCAAGCAAATACATCTGTCCCAAGTCCTCAAATTAGAAACTTATTTCTTAAATGCCCGCCTATTCATTTCCAACCAAGGAAAGCACTGCATTGATTGTTCTTCAGAAAAATCAATCAACTCTATGAGAGGAAAAAAGGTATCCAAATATAAATAGGCTTGAGTTGTTGCTGTTATCTTTCTTCAAAGCTTTGGTACTATCCCAAAATTGTTTTTGGTTCCTTCTGAAGACTTGTAGGTAACATACAAAGACACTGTGGGACAGGTAGATAGGCCATAGACTTCCAGAGCTGTAAGTGAAATTAGAGATCATCTAGTCCTACCCCCTCATTTTACAGGTGAGAAATGGAGGCAAAAGGAAATGGGGTGGTTTGACCAACAGTAAGTGGCAGAGAAGACACTAGAACCCAGCTCTTTGACTCTCAGATAGGTGGTCTGCTTCACTGTCCCTCGTGAAGATGTAATTATAGCAACTGGGATAGAGCAGGCTCTCTAGTAGCTTTTTTTTTTACACGTAGAAATTCTTTATTTTTTTTAATTTTTATTTTACATTGGAGTATAGTTGACTTAATTAAACTTAAAAACTTGCACAGCAAAGGAAACCATAAACAAGACAAAAAGACAACCCTCAGAATGGGAGAAAATATTTGCAAATGAAACAACAGGATTAATCTCCAAAATATACAAACAACTCATGGAGCTCAATATCAAAAAAAACCAAATAATCCAGTTAAAAAATGGGTGGAAGACCTAAATAGACATTTCTCCAAGGAAGACATACAGATGGCCAAGAGGCACATGAAAAGATGCTCAACATCACTAATTATTAGAGAAATGCAAATCAAAACTACAGTGAGGTATCACCTCACACTGGTCAGAATGGCCATTATCAAAAAATCTAGAAACAATAAATACTGGAGGGGTGTGGAGAAAAGGGAAGACTCTTGCACTGTTGGTGGGAATGTAAATTGATACAGCTTCTATGGAGAACAGTATGGAGGTTCCTTAAAAAACTAAAAATAGAACTACCATACGACCCAGCAATCCCACTACTGAGCATATACCCTGAGAAAACCATAATTCAAAAAGAGTCACGTACTACCTGGAGGGGTGGGATAGGGAGGGTGGGAGGGAGGGAGACGCAAGAGGGAAGAGATATGGGAACATACGTATTATGTATAACTGATTCACTTTGTTATAAAGCAGAAACTAACACACCATTGTAAAGCAATTATACCCCAATAAAGATGTTAAAAAAAAAAAAAAGAGTCATGTACCACAATGTTCATTGCAGCTCTATTTACAATAGCCAGGACATGGAAGCAACCTAAGTGTCCATCGACAGATGAATGGATAAAGAAGATGTGGCACATATATACAATGGAATATTACTCAGCCATAAAAAGATATGAAATTGAGTTATTTGTAGTGAGGTGGATGGACCTAGAGTCTGTCATACAGAGTGAAGTAAGTCAGAAAGAAAAAAAGAAATACCATATGCTAACACATATACATGGAATCAAAAAAAAAAAAAGGTACTGATGAACCTACTTGCAGGGCAGGAATAAAAAGGCAGACATATAAAATGGACTTGACATGGGGTGGGAGGGCGAAGCTGGAGTGAAGTGAGAGTAGCATGGACATATATTACACTACCAAATGTAAAATAGATAGCTGGTGGGAAGCAGCAGCATAGCACAGGGAGATCGGCTCAGTGCTTTGTGATGACCTAGATGGGTGGGATAGGGAGGGTGGGAGGGAGGCTCAAGAGGGAGGGCATATGGGGACGTGTGTATGCATATGGCTGATTCTCCTTGTTGTGCAACAGAAACTAACACAGTATTGTGTAGCAATTATACTCCAATAAAGAGCTACTCAAAAAAAAAAAAAAAAAAGAATCTACATGCCAATGCAGGGGACACGGGTTTGAGCCCTGGTCCGCGAAGATCCCACATGCCACAGAGCAACTAAGCCCATGCACCACAACTACTGAGCCACAACTACTGAAGCCCGCGTGCCTAGAGCCCGTGCTCTGCAACGAGAAGTCCACGCACCACAACAAAGAGTAGCCCCTGCTTGCCGCAACTAGAGAAAGCCTGTGCGCAGCAACGAAGACCCAACGCAGCCAAAAATAAATAAACCTATTAAAAAAAAAAAAAGAAATGGACTAAAAAAAATCAACAGGGTGTGCAGCTCCACTAAAAAAATGATCTCAGACATTACTGAGTAATGATGTTTATACAAAGTTATTCTAGGTGACTAACATTGTTTGCCAAATAAATACTTTAGCAGGTCTCTGGAAACATTAATCCAGAGTGTAAAAAACATGCACCACAGTTAAACCGAAGTCTATTTCCTTTTGTTTGATTTTGTTAGGTTTTTCAAGGTCTGTCCCAACACCCTAAAACCCACACATTCCGTATCTCCCAGAGGGGAGAGAAAGCAAACAGCTGGAAATTTAGGAATGGCACAGTCTGACCCCAGTCAGCTCGTAGGTGCACTACTCAACCTGAGCCTGAGTGAATGGTATGGTCACCAAAGCCCTGAGCAGAGCAGATGCTACAGAAATGTATATAAAACCGGTGTGCCAGGAAAAGTGGAACTATAAAGCTAATTTGAGCGCTTTTTCTTTATAATTTAGTTTGGTTAAAAGATTTGGAGTATTTATCTATTAGAGGAAACAGTTAAGAGCTTCTATGCATAGGCAGTCCTTCTTCACTGAATAACTGGAGATGCTACCTGCCTGTGACATCTTCAGCATCTGTTGAACACCCTGATAGATTTGTCAGGGGTGACATTTGGGGATGCTGCCACCGCAGCAGTTGAATGACAAAGAGGGGTGCATACGTATATATGTATGTGTGCATATGTAGATGTCCATTCCAAATGAAGTCTCCACCATGGCTGAGCAGTCAACAGATGGCCTTGCAGTCATTCTTAGGTGAACACAAATCTGGTTCAGGAGACATGTGGTTATCAGAAAAGTGTTAACCAATCACCATCCCTCCCTTTATCTTTCAGGCAGGTGTTAAATAGAGTACATCTGGTTGCCAGGAATCCTACTGCATCTTTCTGTCCTCCAGCATACACGGGAATTTTCTGAATCCAAAGGAATATACAGGCTTGTTGGACTCTCGTCAGATGTAGAGCAGTTGTTTCCAACTTTCTCCTGCTGCCACACTATTAGAATGAACGACCATCTCCATCAGCCGTGCATCCCACACACATAAGAGATTCTCAGACGGGGCCTAAGGTACATCCATCCCATCCAGCCCAAAAGGTCATACGCGGAGTGCAGGAGAGGAGCAGGTTAAGTATAAGAAAGCACGTCCTGGAGATCTGATATGTCTCCCAGCCAACACCCAGCCCCACCTACCAGTTTCCCTCACACCCCTTTCCTTGTTTGCTTTTCTTCAGGAAAACAAACTGCTCTCTTCCCATAATCTCCTGTTATCTTCATACTTCAAGACTAAACTCTATTTTGGGTTCACGTCTTCTTACCTCCATCCACTTGTAACAGCTGCTCAGACGTCCGTGGCAAATCGTTTTTTCATACTCATACGTGTAAAATCTTCGGGGTTGGTCAGGGTTCCACTGCCACCTATTCCTGTTTCTCATCTTTTGGAATGTTTTTTTGTAAAACGCTGCCAGTTTTGCCATTGTCATGTCAAGGTAATCATGCAGCCATAACACAAATCCTAACTATAAGGGCAATACATCAAAACAATTACTAGAGGCCAGCCTGCTGTTCAGATGGGGTCCTGGGCTGACACCACAGTCGAGGGTCAGGTCCAGAAGGTCAAGTTGCCACTTCAGTGTGTCCTAGGACTGACTCAGACCACCAAACTCCCGGGGAGCTGATATATCACCCCACTTGTGAGGCGCCAATGCTCATACATGTTATCAAGGTCCTCCTTTTTTAGTTATAAAACTATTTCTATTTTTTAATGTCTTTTTTTGTTTTGTCTGCATTGGGTCTTCGTTGCTGTGCGTGGGCTTTCTCTAGTTGAGTCCAGTAGGGGTTACTCTTTGTTGCAGTGCCCAGGCTTCTCACTGCGGTGGCTTCTCTTGTTGTGGAGCACAGGCTCTAAGCACTTGGGCTTCAGTAGTTGTGGCACGTGGGCTCAGTAGCTGCAGCTCGCGGGCTGTAGAGCACAGGCTCAGTAGTTGTGGTGCACGGGCTTAGGTGCTCCGCAGCATGTGGGATCTTCGCGGACCACGGTGCAAACCTGTGACCCCTGCATCGGCAGGCGGATTCTTAACCCCTGTGCCACCAGGGAAGTCCCTATTTTTATTTTTAAAAGAGGTGTTTTATTTGGTGAGCAGGGAATCCCAGCAAAGGAAATTAAGAGGGTCTTGTAAACTGTCACTTAGGCTGCAAAATGCCTGATGAACTACACTTAGTCCTTGAAACAGCACCTGTCTTCACAGCAGTCATACTTTTTATCTTCTAGTTTTCCAACTCACTTAGGTAAAGTTGCTTAAACAATGAAAATTATTAGTATCTAATTCTCCTCAAGATTCTATGGGGACCATTATCTTTTGTTTACCACACTGTTCTTAAGACAGATTACAATAAAATCATTTGACGAAAATACCGTCTGAAAATATGTCGATTCAGGAGGCTGACAGAAGTTAAAGCTTTCTTTCTGAACTTAAACCTCAGAGAAATAGGTAACTTTAAAAAAATGGATGAATAAATTTCTAAATATAAAATGGAGACAATTCAATCTTAAAACTCAAACAGAATACTGAAAACATTTATTAATAGAAAAAAGTTCAATGCATCCTACAGAATGAAAATGCTCAATCTTTTCCTATAGATACTTAAATCTAGTGATCCCACTTTTCATTAATATTTGCTAAAATCTATGTAGCAGCCTGTAGATTTAGTTATTTGTTCAGGACCAAAGTGAAGCCAAAGCCACAAAAAATAGAGATTAAATTAAACTGTGAGTAGCTGTTTAAAAAAAAGACTACGTACACATAAATAAGATTACACACTTTAATCTGATTGACATGGAGGAAGTAGGGAGGACGTGAAAGAAATTTAGTTTCAGCTCTGCTTTACACATAACCAAAGGCTCCTTTTCCAAAAAGTAAACCTGAGGTTTCAAAAACCATATTTTATCAGAATACTTCAGGAAAGCATACTATGTGTAATCCAGGAAATACATTATTTGCAGAATAGGAAAATCATCACAGGCAATAAAAGATTAAAACAAAAGAAAGCACCAGGGCTTTGAGCAGGTCTAAGGTGAGTATATCTGCAGAAACAATGTAAATGTTCTTGACTGGCTGCTATGGAAACATGCTAATGAGGACTGGTCCACATCTTATCATTTTTTAAAACATGTTTCTTTGGAAAAATGGCAATAGTGGCTGAGAGTGAAGCCATCCTTTAGACACCCAGCTTATTGGCCTGGGTGAGAACAACTTTGAGAACTGGCATAAAAGCAGAGGTCTCACTGAAGTTGCTGGTGCTAACTATGTGGGTATGGATGGTCAATCCTTCTGAGTAGTTTCGAGTCTCAATGCTCCTTGCGATGTTGTGTAAACCATTGATGATTGTTGGTGAAAGCTGAAATAAAGGTGGAATTGAGAGAGAGAATTAAATTAAGGAAGAATTTTCCATGAGACCCTCTATAAACATTAAACCCTGATATTTAAGAGGAGCTTGAAATAAACATTATTAAAAAAATGTATAAACTGGTGAGCATTTCCAGAAAGCTTCTCGGACCAACCAACACTTAAGTTATAAAATGGAACCATGACAAAATGATTTATGTAAGGAATTGTTTACGAATTATACATGTATGATAAGCCAGGTATTTCCTTACAGAAAAGCCAGATTTCCTTCCCCAAGTTGAAATGTTAATGTCACTACTTTAAATAACTAAATTATTTTAGATACTGTCTCACACCTTTTAAAATTTTTCCTATGTACATGAAGGAGTTTAAAGATTCTTAATCATGACATCTCGAAGTAGGGGCCCAATTTACTCTAAAACCTTGTGGACAATAGAAACCTTGCACTTCTGGTCCACTGCCATTAGGAGGGCAACAGTCCTCACCATGTACTCAATTTGCCAGTTCTTAACTGCTTTTCATAATCCTGTCATCTCTTAAAATCATAAGACCTCTAGTTTTTTTTCCCCCCATGTCATTACTTGGCATACATGTCCATACTTTTCAGAGAAGACTTTATTTTGGATCAGTCCATGGGCCATGCCACTTCCACTGTTATATCAACTTTCTCTGGTTTGGCTCTCATGAGATAAATGGTTATTTTTAGCTGATGGCATTGATATGGGGAATGGGGAAGAGAAATGCTAAAATGCATAAATGTGAAAGGTCTCAATTCTTTTTCTCTCTCCTAGTGCTTTCATTAATAAAACAAAACAATTCTAGAAAGGAATGCAGAGGTTGGGAGGGACAAGAGAACAGAACACACAGGGCATTTACTCCTTACTGCCAACCATCTTCATAGTTATACACATTGATCTGCTCAATTTGTGGTTACCTTTGGCTTTGCCTTTGTGTAATAGCTATTCTAAAAGAAAAGGTTCAGAGTCTTAGACTATGAGAGAGATTACAGATTTGGTCTCTGGAAAACAGAGTAGCTGCCCACTCTCTGATTTCTTAATTCAAGGGACATATAAAAATGAATAGAAGGCCAGTTACCGTAGGACCAGTACAGGCCAGTTTGTATATCTGCCCTTTGTTATAAAAAAAGGCTAAAAATTCCCTCTCCCTCTTAACACACACACACACACACACACACACACACACAGGCCAGTTTGTATATCTGCCCTTTGTTATAAAAAAAGGCTAAAAATTCCCTCTCCCTCTTAACACACACACACACACACACAGGCCAGTTTGTATATCTGCCCTTTGTTATAAAAAAAGGCTAAAAATTCTCTCTCCCTCTTAACACACACACACACACACACACACACACACACACACACACACACACACACAGCCCTATCCCCTTACCCCCGGTGACGGAAATGTAAGATTTAGACAGAGAAAAGCCCATTCTATGAACTGTCATGATCATTTTGTCCCCACGCGTACTATATTACATGCAAGTGCTGATGAGACACTTATTTTACTAGCAACCAGGAATAAATGATTATCATAAATCCTTCTTTTCCCCACAAACTTACTGTCTGTTCCCTAAGTTTATCATACAGAAACTCCAAACGTTTGCTGGCATCATCTAGCTTCCTCTTGGTTTGCTGCAGGAGAGAAAAAACAGGTATGTTATGTATGAACAATAACTTTTATCCCAAGAACTTGCCTTATCTCATTTCACTAAACCTTACAGTCATGATGTTGGAGAGCTTCATTTTATAAAGAAATGGAGATAGCTAAGACCGATGAACTTGGACAGATTATTAGAACAGAGATCAGTAATCTATTAAGGCAGGGAGGGCAAGAAACTGAGACCCTTCCTCCTAGTATGCAAAATGGAGCACTGGCTGGATTCCACAGGGACTGCAACTCACTGGAGGTGTGTGAGTGTCCATCTACACTATATCCACAAGCAACAGGAAGGGCCATCTGGAGGCAGCAATGGGTCAGTGTACTACAGAAAAGAAGGTCTAACAGTTACTGTAAATTAAATAAAATGAACATTATGGGAGCCAGAAGGCAAACATACAGGTGAACTGTGGAATCTCAAAAGTACTACTTATACACTCAGTCACATTTGGTACATTTAATCCTGTCTTATTCTGGGCCTTTAAAACACCAAAAAAAGGAGAAAATTATCTTTTGGTGACTTAAGATTATTAAGAGGGAAGTGTTAAAATGAGTTCTTAAATTAAGGAGTCCTCCTACCCTCATCCTAGTACTGTAAGTGTAGTGAGAGAAAACTATCCTAAACGTAAAGGTTTAAAATTATACTGTGATTAACTTAATATCTACATTACGCAACAGCCTTAAAAGTGACACTGCTTTTCAATATTTATTGAGGGACTACTACGTGCCATGCTGGGACAGTGTTGTGTCTCATGGATCTCATATTCTATTGGGTGGGAAAAAGATACTAAATAAACAATATATTGTATGTCAGATGGTGATGTGTGCCATGAAGAAAAGTTAACAGGGTAAGGGGGTCAGCAGTGTTGGCAGTATGACGTGGTAAGAAAGTCCTGATGGCTAATGGGACATCTGAGCAGACACCAGGAACAAGTGAGCAAGAGCTCTGCAGTTCTGTGAGGAAGAATTCCAGGCAGAAGGAGCAACAGGTACAAAGTCTCTGACGCTGACACATTCTTGTTATGTTTGAGGAGGGCATGTCAGTGTGTCTGAAGACGAGTGCAGAAGAGGTGAAGCCATCGAGGATAACCTTACAAACTAAGTTGTGCTGCAAAATTACTTTGTGCTGTTTGGACATAACTGAAGTGGAAATAAGAATAAAGTCATACTATAAAAATGATTTCAAGTATTGATTAAAATGGACTTCTGTGGAGGGTTCAAAGTTAATCCCACCTAGCTACCAGCAGGAGTCCTGGGCAGTATTTGAACTGCCTCCCCAACTAGTGACAGGAACAGTTTGTCTTTCTCTTCTGCCCAGGGGTCCTGGGTAACCAGAAGGGAGGTGATATGGTGACCCAGAGGAGGTGAAGCTCAACAAAAATTTATTAAGCTAGGCCATGTACGAGGTGTCCTCCCAACCTCTGTTTACGTTAACTCATGCCTGAAGGAAGACTGGAGTTTTCCCACATTTTTATTATGATTCCTCCATTTTGTATGATGAGGACCTCTCTGCCTAGGAGACACTGTACACTTACCTGTTTAACAGCTTCACCTGTTCTCTGTTCCTAGCTTCGTCCTTCCATCACTCCCAGAATGCCAGGCGCTAAGGTTTATGTTAACTTTCCCCTGCCTCTGCTTTCCTGACACTTTCAGTACAGGGAATTGCTTTCCAAAAGACTAGCAGAAGGCTGTACATATTACTACTCAATGTTTGATGAAACAACAAATTCTAGAAGCTGTTTTTCAAGCAGACAACTGGCCAGTGACTAAATAAACATATTCAATGTTTGTTGGCAGAAAGTGACATTTCACCTAAAACAAAACTGGCTTTGTGGAATTTTTGTTGTTGCCAATACAGTCATCCTCTAATAAACTGAGTAAAATCAGTTACTTTGACTATGAATATGACTCCAATATCTAAAGCACTTAACTATTTGTAAGGTCTTTGCAAAGTTAAAGACTGTCTATCTACTTTTAAAAGCTTTCATGTAAGCTCAGAAAGAACCTCCAAATCTGAGTTTCACCATTCTGTTGTATTTTTGTGCTACGCATAAGGTTTGCCGATGAGACTCAGGGCAGCATAGTGGTTGAAAGCATGAATTCTGGAGCCAGACTAGGTTCGAATGCTGGCTCTGCCTTAATTATTATGTAAATGCTTTTTGCCTTAATTTCCTCCTCTGTTAATAAATATGACAAACCTACCTACCATGAGGTTGTTTTAAGGATTAAAGTTATATGTAAAAAGCAGTTGAATGTGTTTTTATATGTACAGCAAACTATATATAAGTGCTAGCTTTACAATTTTTGCATAAACTTTCAAAATACATCTTGTAAGACTTTAAGCAATCATTATAGAAGCGCTCCATAAGGGATTCTTTTAATTAAGCAAAATAAAAAATACATACAGGATCTGTGGCTGAAGAGAGGCAGCGCTGAATAAGATCCTCAAATGTGGTCTTTAGAATGAGGTGTTCATCTGGAATAGGTTTCTTGGTAATTTTTTCTGTTGGCAAAGACTGCACATGCTGGAATAAATAATACCATAAAATGACTAAAAATGACCAGAAGCTACCTATACACAAAGCCCTGAATATGTGATAAAGAGAAACCAACAACCTTGTAGATAGGCTATTCAAAATCAAATGAAAAATTAACATGTGAAATCACTTGGGATAAGCAAACATAAAAATCAGATATTCAGTAGAAGATACAGGTACTCCTTCTACAGCTTCTATTTTCAAAAATAGGATTGGATATAAAGTATTTGATTAATTATGGAACATATGTTGATCACTATTTTATATAACTGATAGGAAGGAGACCTGTGCCAGTAGAAAATAAAAAGAACAAGGCAATTACAAAGTTGGCTGGTTGGAGTGGCTGCTTGCTTTGCTTGTTGGCTCATTTTTTTTTTTTTGCTGTACGCGGGCCTCTCACTGTTGTGGCCTCTCCCGTTGCAGAGCACAGGCTCCGGACACGCAGGCTCAGCGGCCATGGCTCACGGGCCCAGCCGCTCCGTGGCATGTGGGATCTTCCCGGACCGGGACATGAACCAGTGTCCCCTGCATCGGCAGGCGGACTCTCAACCACTGCGCCACCAGGGAAGCCCTTTTTTTTTTAAAAAGCATTTTATGGTAACATTTTTTTTTTGTTGTTAGTTTCTGCTTTATAACAAAGTGAATCAGTTATACATATACATATGTTCCCATATCTCTTCCCTCTTGCGTCTCCCTCCCTCGCACCCTCCCTATCTCACCCCTCCAGGCAGTCACAAAGCACCGAGCTGATCTCTCTGTGCTATGCGGCTGCTTCCCACTAGCTATCTACCTTACGTTTGGTAGTGTATATATGTCCATGCCTCTCTCTTGCTTTGTCACAGCTTACCCTTCCCCCTCCCCATATCCTCAAGTCCATGCTCTAGTAGGTCTGTGTCTTTATTCCTGTCTTACCCCTAGGTTCCTCATGACATGTTTATCCTGACATTCTTCTATTCTTTGGTTTACTCTTGGAGGGTGTTAACTGGGCTATTATCAAACTGCAAGATTAAATCAAAGGTTAGGATAGAAGAGCCCATGATCTTACTGAATGTACAGATGGGAAAACAAAGAAGGAATGTATAAGTGTTTAAAGTTTTGACTGATTAGTTCATTCATAGAAAACATTAAGCAATTATGTATTAGGTATTGGCTAAGTATTGGTGAGCCAATACGGAAATGATCTCATCCCTCAGGGAGTTTACAGGCTGATGGAAGAGAAAGTTTTAAAATGTCATAAATGTATGTAAAATAGCAACTGTGGTTAAGTTAACATCACTAGAACCAAGAGACAATATAATTGGGATTTAACTGAGGGGAAGGTTCTTTAAGGAAGTTATATCAGAAGGATAAGTAGGAGTTAACCAGTTAAATGGGGAAGGAAATGCATTCCAGACAGAAGAACGTGTACACAGGAAGGATCATGATACAAGGGACTGAAAGGAGGTCACTGTAACTGGAGCAGAGAGAGACAGCAAGGAGGAGTATGAGCTGAGAGAATCCAGACAATGTGAAATATTTTGGTCTTTATCCTGCAAACAATGGGAAGCTGTAACGTTTTAAGCAATGAGGAGATGAGACCAGATAAGAGATGGGTGAAAGTAGATGCTGGCCGACCAACTAGAGGCTCCTGCACTGCTTGAGACTGGAGATGAAGGTAGCATGGACTAGACTGGAAATGTAGAGAAGGGATTTGAGAGAGATTTTGAAGTAATATAGCAAGATTTAGGGATAGCTCTGAAAAACAGGTTAAAGGAAGAAGAATATAAAGATGATGCCCAGGTTTTTGGCTGGATTAAATAGGAAGGATTATGGTGCCATTAATTCAAACAGGACACACCAAAAGACGACTAGGTTTGGAAGGAAGACTATGAATTAGATTCTGGATATGTTAAGTGTGAGGTGTCTCAGAGACATCTAAGTGGACAGGAAGGTGGATATTATGGCCTGGCTGAACACACACATCCATGAAGCTCTCCCTTTCAGTGGCAACTGAGGTTCTGGTCAGATGAGTATAGCATGAGCACCCAGGTCTAAACAAAAGTGAATGGCTTCACAAACACCACAGACTTGTAATTATAAAAATTAACAGTGCACCTTTATAATTTTATATATTCTTGTGGAAAGAAGAAGGTCCTCCCACCTCCATCAAAACACTTGTTTTTATAATGCAACTGTTAATGTTTAGAAGTTCCTTAGGCAGAAATCTCTTAACAGCAAAACATACTCTTGTGGTAGAGATATAATCTTTACAAATTTGACTTTAGAGAGTCAAAGACAATAACAGACAGAAGAGCTAGTTTTATAATTGGGCAGGAATTTATTTCATCTTATGTTGAACTGTGACCCAACCTCTTTACTTTTCATGAATAGATCAAAATGTTTATCTTTGTATGTCTAAGTCAGTTATATGGAAATATGGTAGACTTTTCATCATCTAGAGCCTTGCCAACTAGCTGTTTGTATGTGAAAAGCAACCACAAATTTATATCTCCAACTAAAGATATGGCTCTCTTATTAGCTCTTACACATACACAAGAAAATATATAACTCATTACATTTTTATTTTATATTTTAAAGGAAAAAACCTTTGGAAACAGCTTCTGCTTAGCAACCTTGGATGCAAATATGGATTCAACTGATCTTAAATTGTGGCTACTGATTAGATCAAATGAAATACTGTAATCGCCAAGTTACTGTTAACATATACTAGTAAATACATAAGCTCCTTCTGGAAAGTTTGTATGTGGCCTTGTCATTGAAAAATAATATACATACATGAACAATCTTAAAAAAAAGTTATTATTTTTAAGTTGCCTAAATTGAAATCAAATTGAGATAATAATAAAGGTATACCATAAAAGTTAAAACATTAAGAAAACATACCGAAATAAAGCCATCTCCCACTTCCACAGATTTACTGTTACCTGCATGGTATTTCCAATAGGAGCTCCAGGGGCACCTTCAATATTGGGCTTTGAAAAAGGCGGAGGCATGCCTGGTTGACTGAGGGGTTGCTGTATGCCATGGAAGGGCTGGCCACCTGGAAGGTGTGGCTGTGGGAATGAAGCTTGGCTTGATAGTGGTACTGGAGCTGAAGGTTGTTGCTGCAGCATCTGTGACTGGTGGTCACCCAAGGGGTTCATGATTGGTGATGTGATGGGAACAGGAGGTGTAAAGTTCTCAGGCATCTTTTAAAAGAAATAAAAGGCACCAAGAGTAAGGAAAAAAATGGTATGATGACAACATTTCCTCAGCTTTAAATAAGGGAGTTAGCCATTTGGAGCAACATGGATGGACCTAGAGATTATCACACTAAGTGAAGTCAGTCAGAAAGAGAAAGACAAATACCATATGGTATCACTTATATGTGGAATCTAAAATATGACACAGATGAACCTATCTATGAAACAGAAACAGAATCAGGGATATAGAGAACAGACTGGTGGTTGCCAAGGGGGTTGGGGGAGAGTTGGAATGGGAGGGTGGGGTTAGCAAATGTAAGCTTTTATATATAGAATGGATAAATAACAAGGTCCTACTGTACAGCACAGAGAACTATATTCTATATCCTATGATAAACCATATGGAAAAGCACATATTTAAAAAAGAATGTATATACACATACATGTATAACTGAATCACTCTGCTGTACAGCAGTAATTAACAACACTGTAAATCAACTATACTTCAATAAAAAAATTTAAAAAAATAAATAAGGGAGTTAGACTATTCCATGGTTAAAAAATTTTTTTTTAAATAACAGGAGAACACTTTTTAAAATGAAATTTTATGCAGAATTTTAGAGAAAAACATAAAAAGTAAAGCTAATCTGGCTAAGAGGGCTGAGAGCTCAAACCTGGACCTTTGTTCCCCCTTTACCTTCCACACTTATCCCATAATGGGCCAAAACCATGGTGTTTTTGAAAGAGGATGTCAAAGTCTGGAGAATTATATCTAGCCATACTGGGATCAGATATGCCAAATATGTTTGTTTAATGTGATCAGATGTAATACCTTTTTCCTAGATCATTAAGTGATACCTACTTAGTGATCAATCACACTCAAAGTAGTAGATTAAATTTCTGATTATCATTGACCTAATTTTGGGGGGGGGGTTGCTCATTTAGTATCTCCCAATTTTATATTCTGGCCTCTCATTACTATACTTGGGGGACAGAAATCACTAGGAGTAAAAAAAAAAAAAAAAGGCTTGGGGTAAAAGAAGAATCTTAAGTTATGCTCTAACAAGCTCTCAACAGTTACTAACATCTAAATGATGCTCAACTACAAGGCTATTTCGTTTCATATTATATGTGATAGACAAAAATAGTCTAAAATATAACTACAAATTCATGATTACTGTTAGAACCCAAAACCAAAGTAACTCCTAAAAAAAACCACTTGAGAAGCATGAAATTTTGTTTCCTACTCTTTGAAAAAGATGTGCTGGGAATTTACATCTTGTTTTTTAAAAAGGGTTTAATTCATATCACCATACTATTTTGTACTTTCTTTCCTTCCCTTCATGGATTAGAAGATGTAAGTTGAAATACACATATTAAGTATATCAGTCAGTCAGCTTTGCCTTTAAAGGAACAGTGAAGTGTGGTGTGCTTCAGGTGGCTACATGATTGACAGGACACCTGTAGGCAACTGAATAGACGTCTTTTTCTAGTACCTTCTTCTTCTTGGGTACTCTGTTCAAAGCTGGAGGATCATTCCAACCATTCTGAGAACCTATAACAGATAATAGAAGGCATTTTCCTTTAGAATCCTGAAAAAAAGAAAACTAAACTGTATCCATCATATAATACCTTCAAACTTTACTTTCACCCTGAGATAACTGTCACAAAAGTTTTACCAGCTGAGCTGCTGGGATCACTATGTAGCCCTGGATTCTCAAACTCATTACCTCTAATAATCACAGGGCCTTGACTTAGAAAGCAGCATATCTTGACATTATTTCCTTTTAAAGTGAAAGAGTTGTACTAAATTTAAGGATAGTGAAGTTTTTATGTCTATATTGGTATATAAGCTTCAAACAATTCTCTCCTAATAAAGAAAAAATAAATCACCTGAGTCTGCTAAAAAAAAAAAGGCTTCTGATATATTGCACACACAAAAAAAGAAAAAAAGTAGCAATCTCCTATTTTCCCAGAGAGCAATTCAGCATACCCAAATCATCCACATGGTAGAAACACTGTTAAAAAAACAAACAGAGCCCAACTACGCAACACCAGTATGTTTTATCACCTTTGCATTAAGAACAACCTATAAAGTAGAAAAAGGCATCAAATATCTGTGGTAAGATTTTTTTTTTTTTAGTACCACACACACACACAAAATTTCCAGGCTGGCAGTAAATATAAAATTAAACTACTGTCACCTTTAGGAAATTTCCTCCCCCCCCAAATCTCCCAAAACCTGTCATCTCAAAGTGAGAAATGAACATAGGTAGCAGAACTCATTAAGGTACTTAATGCCTATATCTTAAAAAAAAATTTTTTTAAACATCTTTATTAAATGCCTGTATCTTTAAAGAAAAAAGGAATAAAACATGCCAGAGATACGATAATTACTAAATCAAAATATAATCATTTTACATCTTATTAGGTTTTGTGTATGTGTATATATAAAAGCAAAAACTTCTTCTTCTTTCAATAAATTAAACATTCTTTCAGTATTATACTTTTGCTTGTTTTATTGATATCCACGATATTAAATCACAACAAAATTGCTTAGCAAACCAAAGAACATAATGTCATAGAAATTTTTTAAAAACAAGATCTTCTCCTAACCAGCATGCACTCATTTGCCTTGATTTTAAAAGTAGAATTAATTTTCTACAACGTGACTAGGAGACAGAGCACCAAATGAGCCTCAAAACACTCAAGAACTAATCACAAAATATTAAACCACATGATGCTATTTGCTTAACAAATTCTTAAAGTTCTCATTAAACACAGACTAATCATTCAAATCTCTCCCATCACCTTCTAATCTTTCTTATATCTAAGACAATCTTGGTATAGCCTTGTCTTTCAGTCTGTATAACAGTCAACTTTTATGATTCAAGATCATTTGTGTCACTATGTTAATTCAATCAGTTCTAAGATTTGATCAGATTTAGGAATATTATCGGCTTTAAAGTTCACATGCATAATTGTGAATATCCACTCATTAATTAGAGTCAGTGATTCAAAGATTTCCAAAGATATATTTTGTAACTAATTCACCTTCCAACATAGATGCCTGGTCTTGCATAGACTGATTTTCTGTAGACAAAATGTAAAAGTGACTTAAACAGTATTATCATCAAAGACATTCTAAACTCTACTCACTTTTTTTTGAATTTCTGAATTTTATTTTATTTATTATATAGCAGTTTCTTATTAGCTACCCATTTTATACATATTAGTGTATATATGTCAATCCCAATCTCCCAATTCATCCCACCACCACCCCCCCACCCCACCACTTTCCCCCACTTGGTGTCCATACGTTCGTTCTCTACATCTGTGTCTCTATTTCTGCCCTGCAAACTGTAAACTCTACTCATTTTATAATTGTTTCTCCTCCCTCCATCAACCCCAAGAAAGAACTAATTTTATAAGGGAATAAAACTTACTTTTTAATCAAGTCACGTGAAATGGTTTCTATCTAATTAAGAGAGTAATCAGTTTGTGGGCAAAGCTAATTCATTTAAATGTGTCAGATCCAATTAACTCTTAAACACTATTTTTTTCTCTCACTGTGCCAGCTGTCTCTTTTAAGAGAAAATTTTGTTCCTTCCTATTTAAAAGAACATTATTTCCCTAATTGTTTGCACAGATGATTTTTCTACTATCTAGCTATCTAGCTCAGTAATATCATGGTGTGGGGAGGGCTGAGAGCACTTCCTAACATATTATAACTGTGTCCATTTTAGTATTTTTTAAAGCTGTGAATCCAAATCAGGTGAAGATCTTGTAAAAATGCAGATTCTAATTCACTAGGTATAGCGTAGGGCCTGAGATTCTATTGCTTCAGCCAGCTCCCAGGTAATGCCAATGCTGCTGGTCCAAATCCTCTTTAAGTAGTAGGGTTTTAAAGAGAAATGGGAGGATTTCTACATCGTTGAGCGGACTTCAACACTACATTGATAAAGATAATAAGCATGTTAGACAATCTTAACAAGGAGGTGCTACTTTATTGCTGGATTTGGGAGGCCCCAAGGATCTGCATTCTGGAGGAACTAATTTCTGGGGTCACACCATGAGTATGAGCATAAATGGGAACAGGCCCAGTAAATATGTAACCATCCCATATGGTCTTTTCTATAAGAATATACAGATTTGCAGACTGTTTAGCACAAATCTTCCAGAAATCACTACTTCTCTTAAAAGAACTGAAGTCTCTGGCAGTGGACAAGAGGAAAGAAGGCTGAGAACTAATACAGCAATTCCAAAATTGTCGGATATTCAGGATTGGTCCAGGTCCAGCCTCCAATCAAAAGCATGCAGTGTAGATACATCATATGAACACACAACTTAGGGGAATTCAACTATCTTCACTTGGGGAGAGAGGAATCAAGAGAATGTAGCATTAACTAGTGAGTTCAATTCAGTTTGAGCTCTACTCAAGAAGCACATGCCCCAGAGGAACTGTGAGGTGGGAGAACTAATCCCACAGTTTGAAATTTCACTGTATGGAGCTAAGGATAGATGTTGTTCATACAATATGGCTTCTAACCACAAGCAACTTCTTCATGAGGGCTTAACTGAAGAAAGGGGTGATCACGGATAACTGACTCTAAGTGATTTATTTTTGTCTTTAATGATGACTTTACAATTTAACTCCCCATGCAAGATATGACCTCATAGCACTACAGTTAATAAATCCCTGGGAGTCACTTTGTGTGCATTATGACAGAGGACAGACCTGATTTGCAACTACTGATGTACTCTCTAGCACCAGACTTCAGCTTCTGGGCTGAGGGGGACAATATACAGTGCATCCCCAAGATCTACATCTGCAGATGCAACCAACTGAGGATCAAAAACAATCAGGGGGCTTCCCTGGTGGTGCAGTGGTTGCGAGTCCGCCTGCCGATGCAGGGGACGCGGGTTCGTGCCCTGGTCCGGGAAGATCCCACATGCCACGGAGCGGCTGGATCCGTGAGCCATGGCCGCTGAGCCTGCGCGTCTGGAGCCTGTGCTCCGCAACGGGAGAGGCCACAACAGTGAGAAGCCCATGTACCGGGGGCGGGGGGGGGGGAAAAAAACCATTCAGGAAGGAAAAAAAATCCAAAAAGTTCCCAAAAGCAAAGCTTGAATTTGCTGCAAGCATTTACACTGTATTGGGTATTATTAGCAATCTAGACATAAAAGTATATGTGCGTAGGTTATATGCAAATACTACGCCACATTATATAAAGGACTTGAGCATCCTTGGATTTTGGTATTGGGGCGGGGCAGGGGGGAGTCGACGGTGTGAAAAACCTAAAAGTACTGGAGGTACCCTGGCCTTGATCAGTTTTTTCAGGGAGCAGTCTCAACAACATGCCTCCTCTCTAGCCCTATGAAACGTGGGAGCAGAAGGTGAGACCAGTTTTTCCTCTAACCTCTCATGGCAGTGATCTTAGCCTTGGATATTAAAGCCTGAGGGGATATCCTGATTTCACCAACTATTAGCAGCACAAAAAAGTATGTGGAACAATTTCATATGACCCTTTGGTAGAATGACACCAAAGTTATAATGAAATCAAATTAAATTGAAAGTTACGAGTAAAACTGAATGAAATAAGAAACAAAAAGATTTTCAACAGGAACATATAGCCAGTTGGCTATCCCTCATAACTTGAGGGTAGGCTGCCTGTTGAATTGAAAATAACGATGGTACAATAATCAAAGTTCCCACCAAAATATATGCCTAACTGGCCCCTCCTAACCTCAAACCATGCAATATATTTAGCAATATGTTTTATTTCAGCCCAGAAAAATCCTTGTTCAAATCTCTGATCAATTTAACAGTTTTATCTTAGCTATGATTCTAACCCCTCAATAGTTTTGCTTTTATATCTTTAAATTGTTTAAATATGACTTTTTAAAAACACAATTAAATTGACCTCTACTTTATTGAGACACACTTTAATAGCAACACTAGGTAAAGCAAACTAAATGAAGAACATGAATATCTACAGGAGACAGTATTGTGGGGGTTCATTACGGATGTGCAAAATGATACTCTTGGTCAATATTTTTAAAAAAACATAGCAGAGACTAATCTTGGACATAATTCTCTCATAAAACTAGTAAGGGAAGATAATCTTTTTTACCTTTTCAAAAAACCTTAAAAATGGGCATAAATCTCTTTCTTACTCTTTTTAAACATGACAATAACTTTAAAGAACATTGAAAAATGGTTCATGGTGTAATATTAAGGAAAGTAGTAAGATGTAAATTATGAGTGTATGTGCGAGTTATGATCTCAATTCTTTAAAAATGCATGCACACAATAAGATACTACTATCTTCACACCCATTAGAATGGCGAGAATTAAAAACAAAAACAAAAACACAGAAAACAACAAGTGTTGGTGTGGATGTGGAGAAATTGGACCCTTACGCATTGCTGGTGAAAATGTAAAATAGTGCCACCACTTCAAAAAATTAAACACTGAATTACTATTTGATCCAGTAATTCCATTTCTGGGTATATACCCAAAAGAACTGAAACCAGGGACTTGAATAGATATTTGTATACTCATGTTCACAGCAGCATTATTCACGACAGCCAAAATGCCCATGTGCAGGTTAATGGATAAACAAAATGTGGTACATACTTAGAGTGGAATATTACTCAGCTTTAAAACTGAAATTCTGATACATGCTATAATATGGATGAATCTTAAAGACAGTGAAACAGCCAGTTACAAGAAGAAAAAACTTTATGACTACTTATATGAGGTACCTAGAATACATACATAGAAACAAAGTAAAACGGTGGTTACCAGGGGCTGGGGAAAACAGGAGGTTTTTAATGGCTACATAATTTCAGTATGGGATGACAAAAAAGTTCCGTAGTTAGCGGTGATGATTGTACAATAATTTAATGCACTTGATGTCACTTAAAAATGATTAAAATGGTAAATTTTATGTTATATATATTCAACATTAAAAGAACTTTAATACATGCATACATACATATATGTGTGCATATATGTGTATGAAGGGAATAAATACACCTAAATTATTAGTGGTTACATATGGGTGGCAGAATTACAGATAATTTTAATTTTATTCTCTATACTATTTGAGGTCTTTCAAAATCCTACAATAAAAAATTAATAAAAATCAAGGGAACATTAACTTAAAAACTGAATATGGCATGTCACTGGATTCTGGAGACCCTTATCCACCTTAGTGTAGGGATTAGTCCTCCACATGGTCTTTAGGGAAGGAAGAGAGAAGCGCTTGGTCTCACACACAGAAGTGGAGTTGCTACCATCTTTACTTCAATCTCACTTCTCACTGGGAACCTTCTCAAGGTGTCCTTGCATAACGGTAGGATCTAGGCACTGGCTAAGATACTTTCAGTGGATTCACAGAAAAATATTAGTGCCAATGGTATGGAGACTTTTGGCTAAAAGATAATTTGAGACGGAGAGAATACAGCATCCTTGTTAATCATATACCTCCCCCTTCCCCGTTAGCCTCACACGTCACATTTTAAAAAAGGCATCACAAAATTAAAAATTTAAATTTAGAAAGAATGAATCCTTAAGGTCATTTTCCAATGACATGAGATCAAACAGATTTATCCAAAGAAAAATAAGGAAGGCTATCATGCTCCTTTCCTTTGTTTAAAGGGTTAAAAACCAGGTACTTATAGTTTGACTACGGAGTGTTTATGAAAATTAAAAAAAAAATTTTTTTTTCAGCACACTGTTTCATGAAAATATGCAATATTATGCCCCTTCAAGACTCTTCTATGTGAAGGAGCACAAGACTATATATATATATATATAGACCCAAATTAAATTTTCCATTGTTTAACGAAATCAATACTGTTTACTCAAAAACAGTTTCATGAGAGCTTGTCATTTTATCAGAAAATTTTTCTAAGTAAACTTCTTGGGCCTTCACATTTGAAAGTGCTCTTCCTTAGTAACTAGTATACATTAAACCAGGGACAAAAAAAAAAGGTGGGGGGATACCAGCAGTATCTTACTTATCCTGGACAGTAGAGCTAGGAAAACTTCCTGCTTTTTGTGCTGCCACCACTGAAACATGTTGCACTATACTAACTTAGGCTGTTAGCACTTTATACATAGAACTTGGAGACAGCCTCTTTTCCTTGCCTCTGATTCTGCCATGCTGCTCACAATCTGTTTTGCAGAACCAGCTCCGGATTAACCTCCATAAAGTACCACTTTGACCATGCCTCTCAGTAGTTCAAACTCCTCCACTAGAATTTTTCTTCTTACTGTATGAAGTGTAAATTTCTTGCCCTGACATTTAATGTTTTCCAAAATTTGGCCCCAATACAAATTTTATGTTCCAACTTACAACAAAGCTATGTGCTGTTCACTAGAAATGTACTGTACTTTTCTGCCTTCCTACCTGTGCCTAGAATAATTCTGATTATAGCAACATGAGTTTCTCTGAGCAGTGGGCACATAATTTTTTGTTTCACTAATAGTTACAGGGCTTGAAAATCCTACTGTCTATCAAGAGGAATCCACCGGATAAGTGGAATTTCCAAGTCCCGTAGAAAACCATGATATAATAATCTAAGACATATTAGGACAAAGATAAAACTTTTAGTCACAGTTATCTGTATAACCTAAGCAAACTTTTTAGGAAATCAAAAAATAAAAATAAGGTAAAGCTCTAACTGTTAATTAAAATACAGGGACTACTAACATGCAAGAGGTAACAAAGCAGCTAGCTTAGTGCATGCTGAGTATTGAAAAATGTATGGCTTCATCTTCCTATTAGTTACTCTGCTTCTCAGCCAGGTTAGAACACTGTTACTTTGTACATAAGCAAAGACTTTATTATATGGCCAAATGCCCTTTAGCTTAAGGAGGAAAAAAATACCCATGCAAATATCTAACTTAGATGATGAAGTAACAAATGCTTAAAATAGTGATGCTAAATGTTTCTGTAATTCCAACACTGATAGCTATTTCTACCCCTTTCATCAGGACTAGACTATCTGGTAAAGAATAATGAACATGGGCTCTGAAGACTGAGAGACTGGGGTATCTCAGTTGTATCTCAACTTGGAGACTATCACTGTGCAATCATGAAAACATTATACATAACCCTAGGAAACTCAAGCTTCCTCATGGCAATTTTAAAAAAAATAATTATTCCTATTTCTCATGGTTATGAGAAAAAAGAAAATATATGGCAGTGCTGCTACATGTCCAATGTATGTTCAATAAATGATAATTCACTTTCCTACTTCACTGTACCACTTTCTTATGTGGGGATTTACTTGAATCCATCTTTCACTCAAGCTATTACCCAACTATTCAGAATATATACTGTTTTCACTCATCCAGGTTTTAAAAGGTAATTTTTTGAACTCTACAATTGAATTAACACTCCTCTCTAAATATCAACCTACTGAAATATCTGTATTGAAAATTATACAAATTTTATTTGTGCAGTAAAGGCTGATACATATTGTGTGTATGATTTTTGGTACTTTGGACTTTAATATTATATATCAAAGAAGAGAGAAGGAGATATGTGTATAATTCTGGATCCATAAGACTTCCCAGAAAAAAAATACCTGCTCAATAAATCCTATTATATGTTCAGTGTTTTCAGTTATTAAAGCTACTACTTAGCAGATAAAAAGAGAACAACATATACTGGACTTCCAGGAATAACTTCAGTATTAGAAAGCAAGACTCACTCCTGTTTTGCCCCTCTAGTTTAAAACCATCAATTATAATCTGAAAGGGAAACTATTTTCAAATACCCTTAGTAACAAGTATACATTAAACCAGGGACAAAAAAAAAAGGAACAGAGCTCTAATTTTGAGCGATGTGTTATCACAGCTAACTTTGCAGTCACTGTCCCCAAATGCTCTCAATGTACTAATGCATTCAATCTCTTCATAAGCTTATCAGTACATACTATTATTATTATGAGGAAACTGAGGCTTAAAGTTAAGTAACTTACTCAAGGTCACATAACTAGAAAGGAGTGAAGCTGTCATACAAACACAGGAAGTCTGATTCCAAAGTCTGAATTCTTTACTATGTTAGTGGTTCTTGCCCCGATTCATTGATCTCTTTTTGTAAGACTTCTGAGGTCCCTTTTATAATCCTAACATGAAAATCAGATAATATTACCTACTTATAAAAAATTAATAGAATGCTTTAATTGTAACATGAAAGATAAAAAGAATTTATAAAATGTGTGTTTACTATAAAAATAATTTTAAATTATGATTTTAATTAGAAAATTTCAGGCAGAACTATACTGCCAACAACAACAAAAATGCCTAGAAATTTCCAAAATGTTTGTGAGGGTAGAATTGTCCTAATGGAGAGAATCCCTGCACTACTGTATACTTTCTGCTGTCTTAGAGATTCTGTCAGAGTTGCATTCTTTCACTTTTTTCCTTTCAATACACATGTCGAGATCCTTGCTCACCTTTACAAACAAACATAATTACAAAATTTGTACAGCCTCATTTCTTAAAATCTGAAAATTCAGGAAGAACACAGAGCATTGTTTTACTCTGGCAAAGAAATTAGTGTCAATTAAATCTAGTTCCAACCCCCACTTATCTGGCCAACTAATTTCTTACTGCTTATTTTAAATTCAATGGCAGATTATATGCTCTTACCCTTTTAAAGCTCTAAAGCTTTCCTCATCTAGCAACTAAAGTTCATTATGGGAAAATCACACTTTTAGAAATAGTTTTAGAATTTGTTATACAATTAAATCAATACCTCACATTGCCCAGTTTACAGTTAGAAATAATTCCCCTCCATCCACCCACGTGATCACGAAAAAATGAAAGACGGAGCCAAACCAAGTCCCTTTCAAGCGCAGACCTGTTCTCTGGGATGCAGGCAGCTCGCCGGCAGCAGGCAGTGTACCTGTTGCTCCAGGAGCCAGCGCATAAGCTGAAGATGACGGTGGAGCTCCTGGTCCGCCATGCTGGAAGGATGCTCCAGAGGAAGGAGGAGGAGGGAAAGAGGCAGTGGAGCTGGAGGTAGGTGGAGAGGCCTGGTGCTGTGCTGTGTATAGTTGAGACTGCCCAGAATAGGAAGAAGCAGAAGATATGTACGGGGTGTTAGGGTAAGCGTTTGAAGCAGAAGGAGCAACAGGTTGCTGAGGTCGATACACTGCTGACCCCCCTGTTCCGAAGGAATACTGCTGGGCTGGTTGATAAGCTACACCAAGGAGAAGAAACAGAAATTTTAATTAGTTACTAATTTATTCAGACAGCAACAGAAACCCAAAGTTATCTCATTCTATGGAAATTATTTTCAATTCTTCTAATAATAAGCTACAACCAAACATTACCCACTTAAAACAGGTTATGCTTTTGATAGTCTGGATGCCCTAACTATACCAAAAGTCACTGGATCCAGTCTTTGAACCCTGACATCTCCAGACTGCTGCTGGCTATGAAAATCTTTGAGTCATCAGACCCAAGAACCAGAAGACTGACCCTTTTCTGAGACATCCTGTTCCTGTGAAGACTGCAGTGACACCTACTAGCCATCAGATGGAGCCATGCAGGAATTACACATCCAAAGCAGTGCCCTCTACAGTAAAAGTTAAGGGAGCTTGGTGGCAGCTCAAGACCTCTTCCACCATAACAACTGTAGGGTGAGCACTATTGTTATGAATCAGATACCTTCTCCAACATCTAGTAAAATCATCAGCTACTCAAATTCTGGGTTTGAGCACAGTTCCAGATTAATAAGCAACTCTGTATGATCCCTGGCAAGACAATTATTATATTTCTTACACTGTACAAAGTTGGTTAATAAGCAATCAGACAGCCAACTAATGTTTTAATGCAAAGACCTGAACCCAGATACCATTACCTTTTGTGTGACCATGGGTAGAATATGAACCTCTGCAGAGGGAATCTAACAGAACTGTGCTCATCCTACTCTGAAGACAGCACTTTCATGCTGAGCACTGAGCGAAAAGCTGTATCAAATTTGTACTCATGTTAAGTAAGAACACACATCTTAGGAGCACAGAACATGCTCGTTAAGATTAGATCTTGCTAGGTAACATCCTCGTGTTTTATAGTAGTTGTTCAGTCATATAATTGTCCACTCTGAGGTTTCCATTTTTGCTTATTTTAAATTTTAAAATAGAGGTGATGTTTTACTTTGCAAGTGTAGTTTCTTAAAAAAAATGAAAGCCAATAGGGGAAAGGTCATTATTATACATTTGTCAAAATTCACAGAGTGTCTGACACCAAGAGGGAACCCCTAAGATAAACTACTCTGAGCGAAAATGCTGAGTCAGTGTAGGCTCACTGACTGTAACAAACAGACCACCGTGGTGCACAATGTCTGTGGTGGGGAGGCTGTGCACGGAGGCAGGAGGTATACCGAGACTTCCTGTACTTTCCACTCAACTTTGCTGTGAGCCTAAAACTGCTCTAAAAAATAGTCTGTTTCCTAAAAAAATTAAATAAATGGAAGACGACAACAAATGCCCCTTGGAACCAATTTTCCAAAAATGGTTTGCATCATCTTGCCTAAAGGAAAAGAATATGTACTAAATAATTTCTAAAATTCTATTTTTTTATACCAAAATCATGGGACAATTGACTCGCTTTAACAGGCTCAGGAATAAGAGCCAACTGTTCTGAATGGACTGACACAGGAGCTGTTTCCTAGCATGTTGATTCAGGATGCCTCCCAGGGAAACCATGCTTTGCTATAGCAAGGACTCAAGTCCTACACAGAATGGTTCTTTCTTTACTTGTTAAAACTGATTTGATCATGGCTTTGGAGCTTCAAAGTAAACAGTTACTACACTAGATAAGACAAGACATGCTGCTGTGACAGGACTTCAGGGTCACACTACTTACGCTGTGGCTGTGGATAAGGTGGTACCTGGGTGTGCATATGACCGGGAGATGTGGGAAGCTGAGCTGTGGCAACATTTGGATTAACATTCCCATGCATTATGAAGCCTGGAGGTGGAGGATTTTCTCCCTAGGAAATGAGAATATGGTAAAAAGGAGGATTACATTTGGAACCAAGAATCTTACCAGATGGATTTATAATCTTTGAAATGTAATTAAAAAAAAAAAACTTTGTGTAAAAAAATTGCATTTTGTGCATACTATCTTCTTCAAGACACATTTTCTGAGCAACACATTTTGTGTGATTTAAAGATTAGACAGGTCCAAAGTAATAATAACAATGAATGGCAAGAGATGCTAACAGCCTCATAAAATAGGATCTATGATATTTATAGTAAGTCACTAGGATTTTCCATCTCTACTGAAGTCCATCCACGACTAATGCTTCGAAAATATTAAGTATAAATGCTACAAGGAGATATTATCTTCTCTACGATGCTAGAAAAAAAGAAGAAGAAGAGGAGGAGGAAGAAGAAGAAGAAAGGAAAAAATATTCAGTGAAATCAGATTTAAACCATTGATAGAACCTTGGTTGATGTTTTTCTAGTTCAAGTCAATTTAGAACTGCAAAAGAAGAGGAGAGTGATAAGAAAATAAATTAATTGTGCTAAAAACTGCTTCTTGCATCCTAAAGGCACTAAAATGCAATAAGCAGATAGACAGATGGGGGGAGGGGAACTTAAGGGAGGTGGGTAGAGAATATATAACTATATATTTAGGTGAGCAGAATTCTGCTCAAAGAGGAATAATGAAGGATATACCTGTGTATCAGAGGGAGAGGCTGCAGGTGGATGGCTGGGAAGGGCGGTAGGAGTTTTGTTACTCCAGGTAGTGACAGTGGGGGCAATTCTAACCTGAATTGAACAAAGAAATACCAATCACAGAACATAAAACATGAAAATGTTAAAAGAAGAAAAAAAAAACCCAACAGGCATTAATAGCCAGATGCAAAGCAAAAAATAAGAACAGCAAGATAGCACACATTAGCCAGGCAATTGCTTTCAAGGTAGCTGGGATTCCAAAAGAAAAAAACGCCTTTCATAACAGAACAGGGGAAGGGAGGTAGTAGAAAAATCAATATGAAAACTAAATCAAAGCAGAAAGAACAATGCCGTTCAAGTGTCAAGAGTAAGTGGGAAAAGGTAAGTTCTGTAAGTAGGGAAGGAAAGAAGACATTCTGGAAAAAAAAAAAGGTAATTGAGTAAAAAAGTGATTTTTGAAGCACTAATTGTATTCATGCTACTATTAGATCCGTAAACATATTGCTATAAGCTCCCTTTTCCGGATTTCATTAGAGCCACAAAAATTATGTTAGTTCCATATGAGGCTTAGAATCATACAATCAGAGCATATTAAAGATCATCCAATCTAATCCCCACCCTTTACCATTGAGAAAACCAAGGCCCAGAGAAATGAAGGGGCTGGCTGAAGTCCATACAACTTGTTGATGATGGAGCTAGGACGGATTCTAGGTCTCCTGATTCCCAGGCCAGTGTTTGCTACACTACACCATGTTGCTTACCCTGGAGTCCAGAGGTTTTCAAAAAAAATGTTTTTAAGCCATCAGAATATTTTTTGTCAAGTAAATCTTTGTAGAAGAAACTCTATCATATAAACAATTAATAGCAAAGATGTGCTGTTGTAGTAGGAGGAGAACTCCTACTCAGTTGGCTTCCCTTTCAGAAATCCCCTTACTCCTGCCTATAAGCATGTCTTTAAAACCACAAGCCACTGTCCTCATTCAACATATCATAAGCTTTAATTAAGAAAAATCACTGCGTAATTTATGACTGAATTTGTTTTCCTTTTCTTAAAGTATGAGACTGCTAAGTCACAGTATAAAAAAAGTCTTTCAAGGTTTTTACATTTTCCCAGAAAGATAGATTAAACCCAAGGACATAAGGAGTAAATATTCTCTTCTCCCAATGTAGAGAATGCCTTACTTCAGTGCTCTGACACAGTGAGGTCAAACTCAAGGTGCTTAGTTTAGGAGTTCCAATCCTGTTAACCATTAACTAGCCATGCTGACAAATTCAAGCTCTATGTCTTAAAACTCTGGTTAGTCGCTAGACTTCTCCACCTCTCAGTTTCCCAGCCATCACCTGATTTGCCCTATCCATGTCATACACTTTCTAAGTCTAGCAACAAGAGTGGGGAATTTAGTTTTGTTTACCAATATACCCTCAACAGGGAGAATAAAGACAGGCCCTTAAATTCATATTTGTCAAATGAACCAAAAAATAAAACAGAGAGTAGTACAGTTATAATTATATTCAAATGTAATCTATCCTGATTAAGTAGCAATCAAAAGCATAATAGACAAAAGAGCATGAATTTTTTTAAATTTAGTTTTTCATGGTTTTATGATTACTTTTGCTACAAAATGTAAAAATGACCCCATCAATTCTATCAGCAATTTGTTCTATTTTAAAATGGGCAGAGGGACTTCCCTGGTGGTGCAGTGGTTGGGAACCCGCCTGCCAGTGCAGGGGACACGGGTTCAAGCCCTGGTCCAGAAGGATCCCGTGTGCCGCGGAGCGGCTGAGCCTGGGTGCCATGGCTGCTGAGCCCGCGTGCCTGGAGCCCCTGCTCCGCGTTGGGAGAGGCCACCACAGTGAGAAGCCCAGGCACCACAGCGAGGAATGGCCCCCGCTCGCCACAGCTGGAGAGAGCCTGCACGCAGCAGCAAAGACCCAACGCAGCCAAAAATAAATGAATGAATGAATAAATAAATAAATAAGAGAGACTGCCATCGAGGTGGTTTCATCTCAAAAATAAATAAATAAATAAAATGGGCAGAGTACCTACTAACTTTGTTATCGATCAAGACCATTTATTACTTACGAAAATATACTTTTTATTTAAGAACATGAAGGTTATCTGCTGGTCTGGAAATATAAGTTTCTACATGAAATAGTAAAAGACAATAAGAGGTCACATTTTATGCCACTAACCATTTGGCAATTTTAATTTAATAAATAAATTAGTTAATTAATAAAAATTATTTAATCATCTTTACATTCCCCATGACCTACAACTTCATATACCTTTGGTCACTCACTTTTCTCTAATATAAAGTTGTCCAGAAAAATGTTTGTATTCTGGATACTCTTTACTGTGCTGATACAGAAGACATAGTAAAACCACACTAATGACTCAGAAAATAATACTTAAAAAGAGACTATTTTCTAAAAACGTTTAAAAAAAGTGACCAAATTACCCACAAAATTGTTCCCACTACTTTACTCACAGTTTGTTAGATGAATCAAATTGTAAAAATTTCAAGAACAGATGTACATGTGTAATTTAAGTTTGAGTGATGGAGAAATAAGAAGAACTCTCCCCAGAGAGCTTAAATTAATTTTACCCAGTTTGTAAATTATTTGACTAGATCAAAGGGATAATTTTTAAAAACATCATAAGTGCTATTTTCAAGATCAGAAAAACTATAACCATTAAAATAATACATTGTCTAGTTTTATCACTGGTCTCTTACTCAAGAAACTAAAACCACCAATTTGAAATATATAAATGTTCCTACTTAATCTGGACCATATCACTCACATGGGGATAATATTGTTGAGCTGGAACTCTTGGCATCTGTGTGTGGCCAGCAACTGGTCCAGGTCTGCCCTTGGGCAGCTGCTGCCTCTCATAAGGAATTTTAGGTGACTCCTGTTGTCCTGCTGGATTTCCTTGTGCTCTACAAAGTCTGTCACGAAGCTGCACAATATTTGGCTATAAGAAGCAATGGAAGAAAGCAAAGCAAATTGTTAAGAGTTCACCCAACTATATATGACAGCATGTTGATCTTCTTAAAGTAAGCTTGATCATTCATATGATTTTTGTTCATATGCTGGATATTATGCAATAAACCCTGGCACATTAGGGTCTGACATCATGGTTTCTAATACTCAAGACTGACACCAAAGGTCCATTATATACAGTGTAACTTGTAATTTAACTGAGGCAGGGATTTGAATTATGCCTACCACATGGTAGTATGCAAGATCAATGTCACTTATCATCACTGCTCTTTTGCTGTTTCTCTTGCAGTTGAGTAATGCTCACAAATCACAAAAGCAGCTGAAAAAATACAACTTTGTTTCTCTGCAGGGAAAAAAGGCTCCAAAAGAGAATCAACTGCTAAAGATGGTGATGGAAGAAAATGGTGATCTATGAAAGACATGAAAATTAATAAAAAAAAGAGATGCTTGAAATAAAAGAGTTAAGATGTCAAACTCAGGGTAGCTCACACAGATCTATAATTATATAGATCTATAGTAAGTATGAGTTTACCATATACATGTTCTAGTTATTACCAAACAACAACAAAAAAGCAATGTGTTAAAATGTTTCAGCAAGAATTCATTTAATTATCTAGAAAAATTATACATTTCTATAAATTCATTAAAGGTTTAAACACACCATTTAAATTTTGTAGGTATACTTAGGTAAACCTGCCTTTTATGGAGGGGAACTATATACTATAATGATATTACAAAGTCTCAGGAAATATTCCCCAGAAAATACTAAGGGTATACTGAGATATATAGGTGGAAGTAACGTCAAAATTACAAGTTTTGCATAAAGACTCTTCTTTAAAAGTCCAAAGAAAAGCATGAAGAATAATGTATAGAAAATGTATGTGATTATAAACAGTATTAAAAATAAAGAGTTTAATTCTCAGGCCAGAAGGTCTAAAGGTCTTAGAGTAAGTTAGTCTTAAGATAAAGGGTCTTATACTTCAATATAATAATAAGACCTTATTAAGTAAAAAATCCTATAAAACTATTATACCAAAGTCATTATAAAGATAAAGACTTTGTTTCTATTCTACTTAATATTCTCATTAACAATTCAGAAAGATGTGAGCTGGATCCTACATATAAGTGTATACAAAACCAACTAGAGAGTCATACCTCCACAGTCCTGGAACACAGATAGAAGTATTTTTACTCAATGAAATTACTCAATGAAATTTATTGACAATTCCCTAGAACAGACAAAATACTGAAAACAATTAACTAAAATATTTCGTCAAAAACAGAATAAAGTTTAGAACAAAAAGTACAGAAATAAGAAAAGCCTCCGAATTAAGCTCTAGCAGATACACAATGCAGAAATAACCTACTTGTGGAAAATCTTCCTCACTCCCCACCCCAGCTTCCACCCATGCTGCACTATTGGGTTTAGATTTCCCTCTTCTGTGCTCCCACTACCTCTATCATTGTCCTTATCACGTTGGAATCCCATGTATACTTGTTATCATTTTGAGTTTGGAAACTCCCTCAGGGAAAGGATCTTGGCAATCCTATTCATCACTACATATTCAGTCACTTATTGAATTGAAACAAGTATCATGAAAAAGCCCAAGTTTTACTGCACACCAAATAAGGACACTAAATTAGGAATGTGATGTAGTTTTCTCTGCCTTGAATACTTGAATACACCTGAAATTACCCTTGAAGACGTGTCAATAATATTCACCTATTAGGTGACAGAAATTCAACTGCTCCAAATCATTCCACCTACTAGTACATTTATGTTTCATACTGAGTGCTATCTACTGAACTCACCTTACTCACATATTCAAAGAAGAAAAATGGCCAGTTCTAATTACCTGGTTGGTGTTATCAGGAAGAAAAGCCAGGGCTGCAGCAATACTGCCCTGGGCTGCCAACAAATTGGCATACTGACTCATCTTCTCAGCCAAAAGAACTCCTACAGTATTAGTGTCCATGGCTTGGGTGAGTTGTACAGCTTTTCGCAGGATGACAACTTTCTCAATCAGATCCTAAATGAGAAAAAGAAAGGAGAGTGAAGGAGAAACAGACAATGATACCAAGATGTATACTGAGAGGAAGCAGGAAAAGAGAAGGAGTTACTAAGATTTCCAAAGCCTACCAAAAGTACGGTACCTATTATCACCAATATTAAGAAAGTCTGCAAGAGCTGACCACCATCTAGGTAACTGAAAAAGCGAGGAGGAAGGTCTCCTACTCATGGTTAAGGAATAGGTTACCATCTTCTCCCAAACATCCTTAAATTGCCAGAGACTTGTCTCCTGAGCTAAAACAGGCAAATATCCAAAGTGAAAGTGACAGGCTGATGTCTGAAGGCAGAAACTGGGTTACCAGAATATATAAGAGGAAATATTATACTATTATACTATGTATACTATAAAAATAGTACTACTAAGCCTCCAAACAGGCTTAGCATTTCAACCCGAAGTTTCTCATAATGCTCTTCAATACCTATTCTTTCAACACTAGAGAGCTATGCTTCAGGTATAAAGTACAAGAGTATCCCATCTGCCCTTCATAAGTACACCAATCCAGAAGTGTGAAAACAAGTGTGTTTTCTCTCAGAAGCACTTAGAAGGAAAAACCTTGATTCCTACAAGACTTTTGGTTTCAATAGTGATCTTTAAAGCAACAACCATACTGAGAAAATCTCTCTGCAGAGGCAAAAAGAAACATTAGACTGAAATTTCTTGAGACTGCTGACTAACTGCTTAGGAATAAAAAAAATCTAAATATATAGTTACTCAGCGCCAGAGAATAGTCCCCACGTTTTTCACTTCCTCTCTTGCCCATGTATTAGTGCTGCACGGGATCCCATTTACCTCTTACTTTCATTTTCCCCGAACCATGAAGACTGCCCATTGGTACTGGGGACCCCTCCCATTCCTTACCTCACACCGTTTCTTTGCCCAAGGCACACAGGATCACTGGAGGCAGAGAAAGGAGCAGGAGGAAAAGAGGTAAACTCTATGGTTGTTTTCATGCTCTTGCCACCTACTTCCCTCAGTAACTACCATATCACAACTTGGTTCTCACAAACAGTTGCATTCCCATTTTACCATCCCATCATCTCAAACTCTGCCTCTCCAAACATAGCAATAAATACACATAATTATCCAGCAAAAGAGATTCTAAAACATAATTAAGTAGGGTGAAAGCAATGAACTTCTGGAACAAATCAATCTCTAGAATATAAATAGGGTGAAAGACAGTACTAGAAAGGAAGCACCTTTTGTTTCAAAGATACTAACCTGAAGGGACAAAGGATTGCTTCCATCTTGAGCTTTAGTCCAACATGCAACTAGTTTCTCTACATTCCCTGCACAAATATAGCAGAGACATGCCTGAGTCTGCAGGAGGCTATCACCTTCACTTTCAAGCCTGGTTCCCAAAAGATCTATAGATCAAGAGGAAAACAAATAAGATTATATACAAGGCAATCTGTGTATGAGGTCATGAGCAGCCCAATAATATTTTCAGAGGTATGGATCAAACTTCATAACCAATGAGTAGCAGGCAGAAATAAAATCACTGTCATGTAAATGTTCAGTAAATATTTATTTGTTAAATGAGTGGAAAATGAGTGACAAATTTTATATAATAAACAATTTCACAAGATTCTATACCTAGCTGTAGAATGGGTTTATATTTATTATATTAGAAAAAAATTAAAAGTGGGAAAAATATTTGAACAGAAAAATCCTAATGAACATTTAACTGCATTTCATCATGTCTGGTGCTTTTGTAAGCAGTGGACTAAAATATGGCACATTTGGAATAAACATCAATGATAGCTAGACTACTCTAAATTATTTATGATAGAAAGTTAATATCTTGTAAGTTTTACATTCTCATAAAACTTTCAAGGTTGTTCATTTTTATACTAGCCGCCTAAAGCTTCTGTTCTTGTACATAATGAATACTATTCCTTAGTCATCAGTTCAGTCATGGCCTTTAATGGTAATTTCTACTCAAATGTTATAATTATGAATTTTATCAAGCTAACATTTATTAAGTGAGAGCTAATTATGTGCCATTTTACATATGAAAAGACTAAGACTTAGAAATTAATTTTTCCTACGTCATATAGCTAGTTAGTGGCAGAAGCAAGAGTCTCAGTTTGGTCTGTCTGAAACCAATATCATTAAATAATATTATTTTAAAAAATGACTAGTAGGTATGGAGAAGCAACGCAGTTAATAATAACTGAGAAAAGCATTCAAATGAGAGCTTCGTTTTCTTATCTGTTGTTAGTAGGTTTACAAAAATTTCTAAATAAAATCTGCCATTAATTTTATTTACAATATACCATGCCATATACATAATATAAATATAAAGCTCATTTTCTTACCACAAAGGGCAGAAAATTCATCTGGTTTAGCATAAGTCAATACTGCAGCTAAAGCCTCTCTCCAATTTTTAAGATCACAAGACTCGACAATCTCTTTCCAGTTCTTCATCACTACTGCAGTAATTAGCTTAGGAAAGGAAAACAAAAGGAGAATTAAAAGCTTTTGGTATATTGATAAAAATTAACTCTGGCTAATCAATCAATCTTTCAAAACTACTACTCACAGTATTTCATGAAAAATAAAGTAGCAGCAAAGCGAAGTATATCCTTAAACCAACTGACATAAAAGATATTTTCCTCAACAACAACAAAATCACACTAACATGTTTTATAAAATGCTGAGAAGGAGAACTATAGGGTGTTACCAAAACATTTAACAGGAGGACATGCCTTTTAGTCTGATGGATCAGGAAAAGCTTTCTGAGCATACAGACATTTAAGATATGAAGTCAGAATTAATTTCATCGAGAAGGAAAAAACACTGCCGACCAATGGAACACTAAGGGCAAAGTCCTGGGAGAGAAAGGCACGTGGAGTGTGTAAGGAACTGAAAGGCAGCCAGTGTGGCTAAAAGATAACAGGGGAGGGAGTGACACAAGACAAGGCTGGGGACACCGACAGCAACCAAAGCTGCTGGGACTGAACACTGGGACAACTTTCATGGAAAGAAATTTAATATCATCAAGCAGGGGCTTAAAAATGTACAGACCCTCTGCACCAGAAATTCCATTCCTAGGACTACAGCCTCATTAAACAATTAGAAATTCACACAAATCTTTAGGCACAACAAGGATGTTTACTGCTATCTCAACTACATTAGGAAAATATGAGAAACTACCTAAACATCCCCAAATAAGAGAAATAATAAATCCCTACTATAGAATATTATAGAGCAATTTAAAAATTTTTGTAAGAATCTTTAAATGATACAGGAAAATGATTACAATGTAAGTGACAATATTTATACATAAAACCACACACACATATACCTGTATAATTGATTGTTTTTAAAAATTCTACAAATACATAGAAAGAGATACAAAAGGATATGTACCAATCTGATGGAAGAATTAGGGGGTATTAAAATTATTATCTTTAACATTTTCTATGTTCTAACTTTTCTACAATAAAAATATTTCATTTAAAATATTATATATGTAAACAACAAAAACTGGGATAATCATGCCAAGCTATCAACAATGACTATTTCTGGGTCAAGGAATTATGGATGGGTTTTTTTGTTCTTTACTGTTATCTGAATCTCAATTATCTATAATAAGAGTGCTTTGCTTTTATAAACAAATGCTGCTGTTTGTTTATTTTTAAAATAACATACCCTGGTAATTTTGCTTTGGGATTTTGCAAAGTACTTTTTCTGGGTTCGAGCCAAGAGTTCTTGTCCACCTGCTATGGCCAATATAATGGCATCAGCCATGCGGTTATCATGTAAACAAAGGTCAACAGCACTCTCAAAGTTACCCGTCAGCAAAGCCTGAGTAATTAAACCATCAATATCTGCAATAAAGAAATAACACACCCAAGTTAAAGTTTTTTGTTACAAGAAAAAAACACTACACCTATGAATTTTTACATACACGCACAATGGAGAACACAATGCTGATTTCTGAATATTACTGGTGGATTAATTTCTAACACAAACTGTTGATATCTATGGAAATATACTGAGATACATATAAGTAAAATCAGGTAAAATAACATATTTTCCAGATTGCCTAAAATGTAATAATAAAGATCATTTACAGTTTCTATCACATAGGTTTTAGATCATACCATCATTTTTAAGGTAGTGATTACATGTACTAAATGATAACTGAGTTCTTGTCAACCCTCTACCACCTGTGACAAAATGTTTCTAACTTAAACTCAGGGACTATTTGCTTTCAAATGGTTAAAAGAAATTAGAAATCAAAACCAACAGATTCTTACCCCCACTGATGGAGATGTTAAATGTTCCTCCAGCTGATGGTAGAAATTCAGATTCTTGTTTTTCCTCTTTAATGCGCTAAGGAGATGAAAAGGGCAGCAATTTAGCCAGATGAAACTGGAATAAATTACCAGCAAAACAAAATTTAAATATGATTATTCACTTACTGACTAGATGACATGCCAAGTTATCCCAGAAAATTTCTCAGATCCAAGTTTAAACTAAGAACTATGATTTCCTTAAGTATTAACTCTCATTATACAATCATAAATAAAATCCAAAGTCCTCAGAAATAACGTTAAACAAACTTAAGTGTACATATCCATATTGGGAGCTCAGAAGATACTGAAGCTGAAGAATTTTTGTTTTCTTAGATACCTCAACTAACAGTAGCTTGAAACACACAAAATGTTTTATTTATTTATTTTTAAATATTTATTTATTTATTTGGCTGCACCAGGTCTTAGTTGCGGCTCACAGGATCTTCATTACTGCGTTAGGGATCTTTAGTTGAGGCATGCGAACTCTTAGTTGCAGCATGTGGGATCTAGTTCCCTGACCAGAGATTGAACCCAGACCCCCTGCATTGGGAGCACAAAGTCTTAGCCACTTCCCACTTGTGGGAAGTCCCACAAGATGTTTTAAATTATACTATATTTAGATCTTTTTTTACATTTTTCTAATTCAGATCTTAAAACAACCTTGTTTTAAGGTTTCAACACATCTTGTTTCAACACATCTAAAAATTCTGTCTAATAGGTATAGTTATAAGAGTCTTTCGGTTTTAACTGACTCAGTCGTGAAAAAAAGAAAACCACCTGGCGTCCTTATATAAATGCAATATAAACAGATTATTTATAAATATACTAAAATTCAATTAGAGATTTTGTGTTCTCTTAAATTAGTCACACCTGGAACAGCAGGTTGGTCTGGTAAAAATATATACAGTTCTGTTACAAATTTCTGAAACTACTTGTAAGACTGAGTAAAAATAAATTCAATATTTTCTTTCTTTAGAAGAAAAGAAATATAATGGAGGCATACTGCTGGCAAATACTTTAAATGCTTTCTCTTCTATGCATAAAAATTCAAAAGACGACAAAAAATAAAATGTGTCAGAGATTATAGAGAAATTAAAAGAAAAAACACATCTGTCTTACATGAGATAAAATATCTATCTTCTGTGCTCGTGTTACCTATACATCTCAATGTTAGTGCCTAGAATTCAAAGTCAGGAGCATTTTTGAATTGGATAATTTTAGTGTAGAGCACAGTAGAGCATCATCTGTTAATAATGCTTAATTAGTTAATACTATTACAGGAGAATAACTATAACCTTAATTCTCTCCCCAACAAAAGAGAAGCATTTTAGAATTTAAAAACTGAAATTAAAAAATTGTAAAACTGGGCTTCCTTGGTGGCGCAGTGGTTGAGAGTCTGCCTGCCGATGCAGGGGACACGGGTTCGTGCCCCGGTCCGGGAAGGTCCCACATGCTGCGGAGCGGCTGGACCCGTGAGCCATGGTCACTGAGCCTACACGTCCGGAGCCTGTGCTCCGCAACAGGAGAGGCCACAACAGTGAGAGGCCCACGTACCGCAAAAAAAAAAAAAAAAAATTGTAAAACTTGTTATTCATACTGAAGAATAAATCAGATACTGATCTGATTATATTCACTAACAAACTTATCAAAAAAATCTTTTAACAATTTTTCAAATTTGCTTTCAAAAAGCAACTAATAAACTTTTATATATGGACTTCTGAAATATACATAAAGTGAAAAAATGCACAACTTATTATGTGCTGGTTATCTTTAGTGTGTAAGCTACTATGTTTTATTTTACATAATAATAGCATCATCAAGATAAAGGGGAAGATATTACCACCTTAAACAACATTTTTTCAAATATTCTGAAAGCACACATTGATGACTACTGTTTTGTTAAATATATATTTACCTATTAATTCACGAGTGTATTTACAAATGGCCCTCTCTTTGATAATACATAGTTAGTCCAGTTGTATATAAATGAAAGTACGTTTCTTTAATGTATCCTACAATTCTATGTATTCCCAAAATTAGTTCAAATTTTCAGCAAGATTTTACCCATATCCTGTATTCCTGAGTTAAATAAATGTTAGAAGATCCACTTCTAAGGAAAGTATTTTTTAATAATCATCTTGTAATAGTCTGTTTACTGAGGAATTATAACTTAGTAAAAGGTTGTAAGAAATTTTATATAATCAGAATATCCCCATATCACAAAGAACAATGAAAAAGTCAAATATGAGATGAGAAACAAGAACTTGTTGATTAATTTTCTAAGATGAAATATAATTAGAAAGCAAGGAAAGTAAATTATAGAATTATATATTAGTGGCTTAAAAAAACTCAGAAAATTAAAAGGAAAAAAATTAATGATACAACTCTGTTTTCAAGGACTCTTTTTACCTAGTTATAAAAATTGTCACTACAACTCAGGATGCATTTATAGTGAATCAGGATGATCAGATTATTTAGTGAAATATTCTTTACTTGGACTCAAAGTTCAAGATTAATTCAGAAGCTTATGCCACTGATAGTGAGTTGTAAATATTAATGTGTCAAGAAAAAACATTACCTTTACATGCAATGCAATGTGGATTTCTGAATAAAGTATCTTTTCAATTTGACATCTTGATATGCATCTGACCAAACTAAGTCAATCTCACATCAGCTGTTAATTTTAAACCATATAATCCAGAAGCTAGGTCAGAGAACTAAAAATTTTAGAGATGATACTTCTATCAAATTAGTAAACAGACTTCTACCTTAAACATCTCTAAGAAAACTCCAGCTTTATTTTGGAACAAGTAGTCAAGAAAATTTTCCATATTTCAATGTGAGATGAACAAATATCACATATTTTCCCAATGTACTTAAAAATGAGAAAAATAAGTACCTCTCCCAAGAGCTGCTCTTCAGCAGCAGGGCTCTCCTCCCCATCACTCTGTGCTACTTGGTCAGAGTCTTTAAGAGCCTTTGGTACACAAAACAATGACAGAGGAAAGTGAAGAATGTAGCATTAAAAGGTTATTAGTGAACAAGGAAGACAAAAGACCCAACCAACAACATTCAGAGCTAGTTTAATCATAAGAAGCAACACTAAGTAAATTTATTTGAGGAACAACATTAGAGGAAAAGCAGGGAGCCATTACTGCTAAGACCTAACACTTCTTTCCTGACAAACGTCCCTCAGCAACAAAGAGCTTAACGTTAAGTATCTGAGCAGTCACTGATTTCATTTTGCCTCTGTTGTGAAATTCAAACATAGGAATTTCTACTAGCTATAGCTAGCTCTACTAGCTATAACTTATGCTATTTTAAAGAGAATTATTCATGTATTAAAATGCCTACAATAAGCATTTGTTTTTAAACTGTAAAGCAATAAAACAAATTTCCTAAATTATATTTTCTTCTTTATGACCTAAACCAAAATTTTAGAAGGTAGCTATTTTTAAAGGCCTTCTCTTACCACATCAGGTCCATCCACTTTGTTCAAGGCCGAAGCAATCTGAAATAAAGACAACAACTCAGCTACCAAATGGAATTCTATTTCAAGGCATATAGCAAATGTTCACCTCTTACTCCATTGTCATTGGCAAAAATCCAAAATTCAGATCAGGGGTAGCATGTTTAAGAAAAGAATAAAATTTTTGCAGAACTGATTCTCAATGGTGCTAGTTTCAGTTACATGGATCTATTTTATTGCTCACACGTCATCTTACTCTGCTATTCAAATTGTAAAACTAACCTCAAAACAAGCATGTTTTCGTCTACTTTGTTTTAAATAAAATAACTATAATTTAAAAAAATATTTCTTCAGAGACTTACTATGGAAAGAACTGTTACTAGATGTATTTTGACAATCAAATTTTATTTCCTCATTTTTTGCTAACAGGTTTGCAGTAAAACTTTCATATTAATCTCTTGCAAACCAAGTTATAGCATCAAGAAGTTTAGACTAATAATAAAGTTAAATATAAAAAATCTAAAGGAGTGAGGAAAGACACATGACCAGTAAGCAGCGGAGCTGTGATGTGAGCTCAGGTCTATCTGACATTAAAGGGGACTAATCTTCAATGTGCTCAGCACTGACTGCCCAGAGTGCACAGTATTCAACCTGTTCCGCATATGCGATAATTCTGCAATGCTATAGAAGACTTCAGTCATTTTCAAAGAATGACAAAGGATTAATACAAATTATACAAAGAATTCTAAATATATCCTTCAAGGTTTCCAAAGTCAGAGTGTTTTAATTGCTGTTTATGTCAACACTGTGGAATAATTATTAAGCCGCTCTGAGAAGAAAACTATAAAACTGGAATATAACCTCCTTTTTTAAAAAGTAATCTTTTTTTTTTTACATTAAAATGTTAAGCAAATCACTTGGGCTTTTTGTTTATTCAGGTTTAGTAGAATAAAACACCCTTGTTCCAAAATATTTACTAGTTACTTGTGAGCTGGACCAACTTAATAAACAGTTTGGGAATTGTGGGCTGAAGGCATAAACAGCGGGGGTGCAAAACAGTACCCTCTTTTTCATCACTTAAGCTGTAGTGAATGCAGGGTGATCTCTTAAGTTTCCCCCCTCTCTTTCCTCCAGGGCCGCTGGCTACACCTCCTCTTAAAAAACTAAATGTCATTCCAGTGTTTGAGGTTCACAGCCTCTTTTCTTTCAAGGCCCAATTCTCCCTGACACAGCTCTTTAAATCGACTTTGAATTAAAGGTGGTTCTAGCAGCTTCTAAATTCAGGTACAATGAGGAGTTTCACCTTTAACAACGTGTATGAAAAACTTTGGCAACCAAGCATAAATTCTTATTAAATGTTTACTGAATGATTTGAAACAATCTGTGTTGAACTTTTTAAAAAATAAAAACACCTCTGCTACATAAATATTTTATTTGTGTAAGCACAGCCTTTAAACTTTTCCAAAAGTTTACCTTCTTTCCTAGGTCTTCTTTTCTATATCCTAGAAGTTCAAGGTATTTTCCACGAGAATCATCCTCAAAGTTTACCTTTAAAAGAAGACATATTCTTGAAACAAAGAATTGCATTTAAAGGCCTAATTTTTAATTAACTGCTCAAATTCCAAGCAGAATTATTAAAATTACCTGAAGTTTACTATATCAACCAAAAGGTTGTTTATAAGAGAATCCAAAGAAGTTTTTCTAAAGAAGTTATTTTTTAAAATAGTAAGCCTACTAGTAATTAATTACCCAGGTTGAATAAAACTTACATTTAAACTAATTTTTGTAAAAACAAAGTCATGTCCAAAGGTTACATGAGTGCAAAACTCACATTATGTGAAACACGTGATGTCCTAAAACTCTTTCTTAAAACTAAGACTTACTCACAAAATATAAAAATAAATTTAACCTGATTGCATTCAAGATTTCTTTTCTTTGGAAAACAGAATTGAGAAATAGATATTCCCATGGAGACAAAATGACAAACCGGAAAATTCTATTATTCTACTGTCGTAAATGCAACTCAGTAAAAGGAATGAGAAATGCCTCCAACCTCTCTCCCCTATACCTTTTCCCTCTTTCCCCATTTTCCTTAATTAGACCTACTACAAAAATTAAATACTCTGTGTTTTTATTATACTAAGCTCTATGTTCTAATTTTAAAATAGGTCTGTTGAATGTTATGTCTCTCTCACTTAAAATTAGCTATTATATTATTTTTTACTTATTAAAAAAGTATTTCATATTAGGCTTTTCACAGCAGAGAAGGAAGAACTCTTGACATAAAGTGTTAGGTCATGTACCCTCCATATGGTTTAATTTCATCAGGAGATCCCCAAATCACATTCTCTCGATTGTTTCTTCAACAGGAAGACAGATTTAGAATATGATGGAAATAGGTGAATTTGCAGATAATGAAATAAAATTGCTTAACACCAACTTTACCTTCAAAAAGGACCACACATTTTTCTCAAACTCAGTCTGAGAAGCATCAATCTTCTTCTGACAATAACTGACAAATCCTTGTGACTGCACGACCTGCTGAAGTTGGGCTGACCGGCTAAGGAATTCCTCTTCTGTTACGACCTGACTGATGCGCACGTGGTGCTGCTGCAGCTGCTGCTCAGCTCCCTGCTGAGGCTGTGTTCTGACACTCGCAAAGGTAACCAGTTTGCCTCCAAACTAGAATAGAACAAGTAAACAAAATCAGTTCCAACGACAAGGATGTGGCCCTCAAACGTACTGACTGTAAACCGGCTAAAGGAAAAGAACTCTGGCTCTGGATGCAATTGGTGATACACTCCCCTACTCCACAGTCTGACCCCAGCCTTCAATTATTTTTCCTCTTCACACCACCCACCTACTACATAAAAGGTCCCAGTTGCTGTGCCCCACAATTTCTCACCTACTTGCTTTTACTAACTTCCACATACTAAATGCTACTCCTCTTCAAAGCCTGGGCAAATGTCACCTCTGCCATCCCAGACACCCTCAGTATATTTTTTATATATATATATATATATATATGTATGTATATATATATATATTTTTTTGTGGTACGCGGGCCTCTCGCTGTTGTGGCCTCTCCCGTTGCGGGGCACAGGCTCCGGACGCGCAGGCTCAGCGGCCATGGCTCACGGGCCCAGCCGCTCCGCGGCATGTGGGATCTTCCCGGACCGGGGCACGAACGCGTGTCCCCTGCATCGGCAGGCAGACTCTCAACCACTGCGCCACCAGGGAAGCCCTATCTCTCTCTTTTGATTCAACTATTAGCTGTACGTATTTGCCTTTCTACTCTAGGCTCCACGTTTTAAAAGGTGGTGGATTATGCTGCTACAAAATATGCCATTTGACCTAAGGATTATTTTGAGCTGAAGAATACTGAAAAACAACAGGAGCAAGAAAGGCACCCTGACCTCCTCTTTTCTTTCTGAAAGCAGGAGATGAAACTCACATGTGAGAGCTGCTCTCCCTACACCAGGAGGAAAGATACATCCTTATCACCAGATATGGGAGTCCAGGATGGGAGAACTCTATACAAACAGACCTTGTTAAATAAAAATTATCTCCATCAGTCTCTACATATTTTAGTTACTGTTCCACAACTGCCATTCTTTGTTCAACCTAGCATATAAGCACTTAGGTTTTGCCACTCATTGGGGTTTTCATTTCTCTATGGGGGGGCTCCCAGGTACATGTTTGCTGTCATTCTCCTATTAAGCAGGCTGAGAACTCTTCCTTTGGCCTCTCAAATTCATTCCTCAGGTCTAGGTATTGATCTCTTCTGAAATCTCTTGATTTCTTTCTTTTACATTGCTATTTTTCTGCCTAATTCTTTTTGCACTGAACTGCTGTATGACTGCACATCTACTCTTGTCTTTCCCCCTTCCAAACCATACTACATACTCTCATCTTCCTAAATAATAGATCTTTGATTACATCACTTTGGGATTTAATTAATCTCTCATCCCTCTTGTCTGGTCTTCTCCACTATCTGCTCTCCTGCCTTTGAATCTTTGCTTTTATCACTTTCCACTTTACTTACTGAATCCTAACCATCCATCTAGTTAGTTATAATAAAACACTTATTATAAAATTATGTATGGACAAGGTTTAAAAGAAAAATCAAACTGTACAGAAAAGCCTCCCCGCCCCCCAATATAAGCTACTTGAGGACAGAGACTCTATCTAGTTCACAGGTATGTTTCCAGTGCCTAAAGTGGTACCTGACAAACAGAGGATGTTCACTATATATTTATCTTTGGAATGAAAAGCGCATGTCCACTCAGTAATACTGAAGTATTATAAAGACAACAAATAACACTCCTTTCTTCCCCACGTGAGTCTGGAACCCAGTACGAGAGATGGAGAATCAAAATATCAGCTTTAGTGCTGTCGTAAGTGCTACTAGGTTAGAGGCTATAGTTTAGATGTACAACCATAGTGGACCTTGTAACAATTAGAATGTAGACCCTCTCAAAAAGAAAAGAAGGAATGAAGGAAGGAGAGATAGAGAAGGAAAACAAGTTTAATAAAGTGGGGTAGGGAGAATGGTGCAAAGGTTGCACAACAAGGTGAATGTACTCAATACTGCTGAACTGTAAGTTTTAAAATGGTTAAAATTGTAAATTTTGTTATGTATATTTTATTACAATTTAAAAGAAAAAAGAAAAAAAGGGAGTAGGTTTCACTTTTCCCGAGAAACCTTTCTGAGTGATGAAAACTCACAAACATATCTCAAACTCAGCCCTCTTCCATCTGAGTGATCCTATAATAACACTTTACTGTAAGTCCTTTGTGTTTATGGACCATAAAAGCAAATCCACCTACTGAAAAGGAAGCCCCAACAGGTCTTCGGACCCACTTGGGTGGCTTCTTCAGAGGCAACACTATACGATGCTGAGCAGTCTGCTGAGGAATTTGTAACGGAGGAAGGGGCTGTCCTGTGCCAAACGGATCAAGATTCCCAAAAGACGATGAAAGCTAAAAAATAAAATAAAGTGAGATTTTTGAAACTTATGCAAGACTATATTACATGTTTTCAAGTCATATCCAAAAAATTTTTTATCACAATTATCCAATTAATTGGTATCATTGATCAGTAAAGTTATTTTCAAAATAATTACACAGTAAGATGATTTTTTTCAGGTGTTATAATAAAAAACCTTAACACTTCTTATTACCTTGTCAACTTGTTTCTGCCTTAAACCATCTGCACTCCCTCCCATGATAGAATAAACACTGATACGCCCATCGAAGGAAGCAGCTGATAAGACAGCAGGATTTCTGGGACACCACTGAATATCAAAGCACCACTGTGTGTTGGTGGGAAGTTCATATAACACCTAGACCGCAAAAAAAAAAAAAGTCAGAAAAAAGTATAGCCACTTTATAGCCAAAACAGCTGAATAAATATGATCAACAAATACAACTTTATTAAACATTTACTTTTACAAAGTATCCAGCCAGGAAAAACAACAATTGTAAAAATTTCTTTAAAGTACAAGAAAAGTTCATTATGATAAAAAAAAAAAGAAATGCTGCTCAAAATTTTGACCAGATTTGGAATAAGTACATCTTAAAAAATGAGGTTTTACTGTTTTTACTGAAATGGTACTAGAGGATGCACCCGAAAGACCAGAATACTCTATTAGGGTCAACTTGCTGAACTCTAAAAGATCGATGGGGTCCTAGCCAACTGACTTTGCCTGCCAAGATCCAAAGAACCACGTTTAGATTATTTGAAGATCAAGTTTCAAAAAAAATTCTTGAGAAGGAAAAATTCACCGAGAAGTTTGGCTTCTTGTCAAGTGAGAAAACATGTACACATCATTCTTATTATTGCAGAATCAAAGGAGAATTTGGCATTACCAGTTTTCTTTAGAAGGAAAAGAATATAGAAAAACTATTAAAAATGGCTGATATAAATAAATAATGTAATAATTGTTTACTAACTTTACAATGTAATAATGTAATAATTGTTGCTAACTCAGTGTGATGGTAACTGATGCTCTTAGGAGCACAGGTTTTATGGCTTTAAGAAATGAATCAAATTTACTTAACTTTGGCTTCCTTGACACTTAAAATAATGTTTTATTTTATAAGAAAACAAAATAAAGTGAAAAGGCATTTAGCCTGCTCCTCTTTGATGCTTAAACTGATTTATAAGACTATTAGCTTCTTGATATCTGAATCACTTGTCTATTCCTAATTTGCATTTGAATAAAAATCTATTACAATTTTTAGTTGCAGCATGCACTAAAAGTTTATTCCTTTAAAGTCCAAGCACACACAACTAAGCATATGCAAAAAATCATTTTATCAAATTACATAGTTGAAAAAGAACAGTAATTTCCATGAATTTTGAACTCACTTGGGAAAGCAGTGTAAAATGAAACACTTTCATTATTTGGTCTACAAATCTTATGAAGCAAAAATTATTATTTTTTCTCTTGTCTCCTCTAACATTAATGTTTCTATATTCTTACAGACATCACTGCAACTGAAAACTTTAAACCACAAATCAAATAACAAAAGTGCTTGCTTTAATTTTAATGTTACAGATTAAAACCTACCGAACAGGGCTTCCCTGGTGGCGCAGTGATTAAGAATCTGCCTGCCAATGCAGAAGACACGGGTTCCAGCCCTGGTCCGGGAAGATCCCACATAGCGCGGAGCAACTAAGCCCGTGCACCACAACTACTGAGCCTGCGGTCTAGAGCCCGCGAGCCACAACTACTGAGCCCACGCGCCTAGAGCCTGTGCTCCGCAACAAGAGAAGCCACAGCAATGGGAAGCCCGCACACCGCATCGCCACAACTAGAGAAAAGCCTGCGTACAGCAGCAAAGACCCAATGCAGCCAAAAATAAATAAATACATAAATTAATTAATTAAAAACAAAAAAAATACCCATCAAAGATACTTATTTTTACTAGCATACCATCAGGGCAACTAGGAAGGCACTTGCAATAAAAGTTTAAAAGCTGTAATTAGAATCCATGGTGCCTTGCCCACTAGTGAAAGAGAGGGAAACCATTCAACCATTAAGAAGAAGAAAAATATTAGGCAAAAGAGATTTTTAGCCCACAACCCAAAGCAAATGAAATTATATTTATATAATATTTATATTTAATAAGGTAAAATTCCCCATCTAAGTTTCCATGGGTAGAACATATGACAAATATTTTATTATAAAGTATTATATTCTTGCTGTAGAGTTCAGAAGAGAGATTAAAAACCTGCATCCACTGATTTCCAAAAATCAAAGAGGATCTTCAGGAAAGGTAAAGCAAGAAAAAGACCCAAACCTTGAACACTCCTACTTTGAGGACACTTATTTCCAGAAAATACATTAAATAAATCAAACCAAGTATTTCTGAGTCTAGTTAAACACCTTTGATTGGAAATGGCGGGTGGGGGGTGATTACTAGGTTCAAAGACACTATTTCAATGATTGATATCCCCAGATGAAACAGCTGAGCTTAGATAATGCTCATAATAAAATCTCTGCTAGAGTTACATTTCACGTACACCTCCGTCTACTTTCACGTTCTTAATTTTAATCATGTACTAAAGAATTCATATGGAAATTTTCTTATTCAACCAGAGATAAAATATTATAATAGCTGTAAGTTTGAGAAACATTTCCTCCCCATACCTCTCCTGTGTTTGGGTTGGAACAGAGAATCTTAGCATCTTTTCCACAGCTCAGCAACAATTCAGGATCCGCCATGCTCCAAGCAATTGCCAAAATCCCCCTATAAGAAACACAGATGAAGAAATTTTTAATCTTGAGAAAACCAAATTATTTTTCTCTAGGTTTTGGAGACACACACTGCTAAGAGAAGTATAATTTCATATAATCTTTCTGGAAAGCAACTTAGCAATGTGTATGCTGTTTGATCATTACAAAGATACTCAATACAGTATGCAGTGTATGACAGCAAAAAATGAAAACAAATGCCCAATAACACGGACAGCGTAATAATAAATTGCAGATCATCTTTTAAGGAGAAAATATGTAGTTAAAAATTATGCTGTAACCTACTAGAGAATGGATTTGAGGATATGGGGAGGGGGAAGGGTAAGCTGTGACAAAGTGAGAGAGTGGCATGGACATATATACACTACCAAACGTAAAATAGATAGCTAGTGGGAAGCAGCTACATAGCACAGGGACATCAGCTCCGTGGTTTGTGACCACCTAGAGGGGTGGGATAGGGAGGGTGGGAGGGAGGGAGATGCAAGAGGGAAGAGATATGGGAACATATGTATATGTATAACTGATTCACTTTGTTATAAGGCAGAACCTAACACACCATTGTAAAGCAATTATACTCCAATAAAGATGTTAAAAAAATTATGTTGTAGAAATCTGTTTCTTATTATTATACACTGTTCACCAATGAAAAAAGGTTAACTCTGTACATAAATTTGTATAAAACATATAATTACATTAAATACTTGCATAAATGGGGTTATGTATATATAAGGATATGTACAATAAAAGTTTTACCTATGGATGGGTAGGAAATCTATTTCATGTTTTCTACTCTTTGTTTACTAACTTTCTACTTTTCGTTACTGGAGTAGTTCTCCTATTACATGAGTTTTTTTTAACTGAAAGGAAGCATTTTAAATTTGCCTCACAAAGAAATATTACAGATCTAAATACTAAAGATTTGATTTTATAATTCTTTTTGTGTTTTAATATCCTTTGGATTTTTTATACTAAGTATAAACAGAGTAGTATTTTTGGTAGATATTTTGAAAATTCAGATTAGCATCCCCTGTAAAAATAAAAAAAAACCCTCTATCCCACCATCCAGAAAAAAGTGCTATATAATAGTTTGTTTTTTCTACATTCATGCCTCTGCTGTTTAGAGATGAAAGAAGGAAAGTTAACATTACCAGACCATGAAGAAAAATACTAGAAACTACAATTTAAATACTGGATACTAGAAAATAGTAGAAATACAGCTAGTAGATAACAGGGACTAGAAAAACACTAGAAACTAGAATTACGTTTGTGTATTTCTTAAAACAAAAACATACAAATTAATAATCTTAAATTTTTCTGAAAACATTACAGTAATTCTAAGATACAGTTTTTCAATTTCCAAAATACAGATAAACTTTATCATCAAAGTATATATTGTTTTTATTTTCCCCAAAAGTTGTTTTTAATTTGATGATATTTCTTACAATCTAAGTCCTCTCAGAATCAGGAAAATACGCTATAGGAAAAGGACCCAAATTATTTAAGAATGCCTTTTGTTTCCAACGTTTTATTTTATTTTATTATTTTTTTCAACATTTTATTTTTTAAGCATTAAAATCTTTGTAAAAATTATAAGGATAGTGTGATATACACCCTTATACTCCTCACCTAGATTCACTGATTTGGCCACATTTACTTTATGTCTTTCTCTTTCTCTCTATATATTGACCATTTGAGAGTTAAATGCAGCTATTATGACATGTCACTTCTACACTTATCTCTGGGGATAAGAACATTCTCCTATACAATCACAATACAATTACATACTGAAAATATTTATCATTTATATGCAATACTTTAGAGTCCATATTCAACTTTCCCCAATTGTAGCAATAATGAACTTTTATTGTCTCCGCTCTTTAGAATCTAATCATGCATGTCAAAAATTTCAAGGTATGTCAAGAAAGCCTTTTAAAGAAATCAATATCATATTTAATATCACATGTTAAGGAACATTTAGGTTCTTACTAAGTATTAAAATCACTGAATTGTAGAACTGGAAGGGACCTTAAAGATCATATTATAATCATAATATACTCCAACTCTTGCATTTACTAGAGGGAGAAAATTGAGAACTAGTGAGGTTGATTTGCTCCTGGCACCCAGTATGGTATTCTATCTTGCTAAATTATGACCACTCCTAAAATTGGCAGCAGAATGTAATGTTAAGACCATAGATACTAGGATCAGTATGTATGGGTTGGAAGTCAGCACTTGACTAGTTTTGAGACCTAAGCCAAGCTTATTAGCCTTGCCAAGCTTCAATTTCCAATGTGTAAAATGGGATAATAGTATTTACACCATAGGTTTGTTATGAGCCTAAATCAAGCTAACATTTGCAAGTTTGGGATTAACATATACACACTGCTATATTTAAAACAGATTCCCAACAAGGACCTACTGTATAGCACAGGGAACTCTGCTCAATACTCTGTAATAAAAGGGCAGGAATTTTTGTCTGTTATATTACTGAATCCTAGCACAGTGCTTGGTACAGAGTACGTGTTCAATAAGCAAGTGTTGAATGAATAAATAAAACCTTACCCAGTGTGAGAAAAATATTAAAACACCTCAGAATCATCCTTTCTTTACAAAGAGCTTATTGAAGCATAATATCTAAACAGGATTACATTCTGACCAGACTCTTTTCTCCTTTATAAGAAGCTCAAGGAGAGGTCACAAACCTTAAGACTTCTCAAAGTGTGTAATTCCACTACGGGGCGGGGGCGGGGGCGGGGGTGGGGCGTGAAGGGATTTAAGATTTTAGTTTACATATCCCCAAACAGGAAAGAAGAAAAAAGCCCGAAGTACTTAGAAAGTACTATAACATTAAAAGGGATTTGTTTCTCGTTTAAAAACATTGAACAAATGTGCATGAACTCCCTGGGTACCTGAATATTAATGATAGGAAATGTGCGTAATTACAAACTAAATTTTTTTTTTTTTTTTGGCCACGCCGTGAGGATTGCAGGATCTTAGTTCCCCAACCAGGGATGGAACCCGTGTCCCCTGCAGTGAAAGCACAGACCCCTAACCACTGGACCAGCAGCGAGTTCCCACAAACTAAATTTAATGTTACTAAAACTAACACAAGACAATTCTCATACCTTTTTTAGAGCATCCACACATTTATTAAAATTAAAGGCAGAATGAACCACCTAATTTCTCAAAAATGTTTGCTTTTTAAATTAAGATAAACACTCAGGGAAGAGATATGGGAACATATGTATATGTATAACTGATTCACTTTGTTATAAAGCAGAAACTAACACACCATTGTAAAGCAATTATACTCCAATAAAGATGTTAAAAAAAAAAAGATAAACACTCAGAAATAAAACAAACTTTTCAATTGTTGCTTGACATTTAATGTTACGGAAGACTCTTGATAAGTATGATGAACCAAATAAAGATCAAACTGTATAAGGTCATGAGTTGTCCCAAAATGTTGTGATATACTAGAATTTTGATCTATTAACTGTTATTTGAAATAAGTAGTGGAAAATCCATTAACACATTTTCATGTTTTTGTGATATGATTTGATTACCATTTTTTGGTATAGAATATCAGATGACTATTGCTTAAAATAAAAATAAACCATTTACATTGACTTTTACAAGACAGAGACAAAGTAGATTCCCTAATTTAAAAAAATTATCTGGGACTTCCCTGGTGGTGCAGTGGTTAAGAATCCACCTGCCAATGCAGGGGACACAGGTTCAAGCCCTGGTCCGGGAAGATCCCACATGCCACGGAACAACTAAGCCCGTGCGTCACAACTACTGAGTCTGTGCTCTAGAGCCCGCGAGCCACAACTACTGAGCCTGTGTGCCACAACTACTGAAGCCCGCGCACCTAGAGCCTGTGCTCCACAACAAGAGAAGCCACCACAATGAGAAGCCCGTGCACTGCAATGAAGAGTAGCCCCTGCTCACCACAACTAGAGAGAAAGCCCGTGCACAGCAAAGAAGACCCAACCAAAAATAACTAACTATATAAGTAAATAAAAAAAAATTATCTGATAATTCAAAGTAGTAAGTAAATACATTTTTTTAAATACACAAATTAAGTGTTTTTGGAAGAGCAGCAAGATACCTGGCATGGTTTTCCAGGACACGGAGTGGAGAGGAGGCAAAGCGAAGATCCCACATCTGGATCACTGGTAACCTGTCATCCTCAGAGGCAAGGACCATCTGAGTAGCAACATCAGGATGCCACGCCAACCCAGAGCAATGCATCTGTACATAGTTAAGGCTCACATTTTTATCAGTCATACTATTTTATTTATTTATTTATTTTTAGTCATACTATTTTATGAAAAGCCAAAATGAACATGAGGAATATGCCTTTGTTAAAGCAAACAGTACCAAACATCAGCTCAGGCTTATTAAAAAAAAGAATTCTTATTTATTTAATCATTATTTTAATCTATTTCTATTTATTTAAAATTTCAGTTTATTAAAAAACTCCATACAGCTATTAAATTCTATTAAACACTCTTAAACAGTAGTATTAAACATAAAAAGTTTAAAGGTTTTCAATTCAGCCAACCCTTTGATACATAAAATCATTCTGGGCCAGAATAATTCTATACCAAAAATGAGATCTCCTGTCAAAATTGTAACTAGGGGAAAAGTTTTATATAAATTTAAAATTTAATACTTTCAGAAAAATTAAAATAAAGAGATAAGATTTAAATGACAAAAAAATTCATATCTTTCCTCTATTTCACCATAAAAATCAAGATAAAGTGTCTAAAGCAACAACTACTATTTCAATTTTCACATGGGATAAATTAACATTATTATTGAGAACTACCTGGAAGTTCAGATACTATTAAGTATTCCAAAAGATGACTGAAATGCTTATTGTATACTTTATTCCACTGAAATTTGTTTTAAAATTTTTGACTCACTGAAAAATAATACCCTGAAGAAACATTCTTGTAAAATTTTGTTGTTGTTGTTATTATTGTTGTTTTTAAGTTATATATGTATTCTCTGATTTAGGCAAACTCGTTTTTTTTTTAAATGTCCAACTAAACAATGTAATTAAAAACAAATTAACAAGACAAGGCCTAAACTGTGTCTAAATTACTTTATAGCACATGATGACATAATATTAATGAATCTATAAAGCTGAAAATGTAATGTGTTATACAACAGCATATACTGTGTTAAGTGGGAGAACATCAGCTCACTTTAGCAGTGCCTAATCAGAAAAGATGAAGCCAGGAGTCTGGAAACTACAGCTTCATAGTCATAAAATTACTAGCAGGGAAAATTTTTACATTCTTGAGAAAGCTAAAGATGAATTAAAAAGTTGCTATAATGCTTTGTAACAGCTAGCAAAGCAAAACAACCAGTATATCATGGAATAACCCCCTTGATTAACCAATCTTTTTCTTCATCATTAATATATCCAGTGTGGTTTAGTAGGAATTTTATTATTTTCCCCAAAGGAAGAAACCTCTCATTCCAACATGATTGGTCCATAAAAAGACAGGATTTGACTTTATAGAAATTTGATTTGTTGCCTACTCTGACAAACTATATAGGAATAGCTACAGCAGGAATAAAACATGTTTGTCACAAATCAATCACAAACTTACCCTGTTACTATGATCACTGACTTTGATGATGGGTTCATTTTTTCTAAGATCCCACACAGTGGCCCGGCCACTGGGATTGGCTGATGCCAAAATATGCTGAACTTGTCTGTTCCATGCAATGCAGCTGATATCTTCTGGGGGCTATAAGGAATAAACTACTAAAAGCCATTTCTCAATAATAATCAAATTTAACTACAAAATATAATTCTTTTTAAAAACTGGATTACTTAAAAATCGGATCTATTCATTCCAAAAATTTATTTTTATATTTTTAAGTTCTCAACATCATGCAATAGAGTTTAAGGCTCAGGTATATGCCAATTCAAGTATTTTACCTTGTTTATCACCAGGCATTTATTAAGCTCCTGTTACAAACCAAGCACTGTTTCTTTACTTTGCAACTGCTCCAAGGTAGATAACAGACCACAAAGTAGATGCTGGTCAATATGACAGACATCTAAGCAGAGCAAAAGTTACAACCTAGACCTAGAAAACTATCTTTAATAAATGGTAGGCCACACACTATTATTATGCTACCTTTCAGATCGCCAAAATGTTAGGGCCCGTTATAATGACCACTCAAATTGAATAGTCCATACCAGGGGTCCCCAACCCCCGGACCAGTACCAGTCCACGGCCTGCTAGGAACCAGGCCACACAGCAGGAGGTGAGCGGCGGGTGAATGAGCGAAGCTTCATCTGATCTGTATCTACAGCTGCTCCCCATTGCTCACATTACTGCCTGAGCTCCACCTCCTGTCGGCATTATGGTGAGTTGTGTAATTATTTCATTATATATTACAATGTAATAATAATAGAAATAAAATGCACAATAAATATAAGGCACTTGAATCATCCCAAAACCACCCCCCCACCCCAGTCCGTGGAAAAACTGTCTTCTGTGAAACCAGTCCCTGGTGCCGAAAAGGTTGGGGACCACTGGTCTATACAACATAAAGAAACTCAAGGAGGCAGGGGGAGGATTGTTCTTTCTCAACTTATTAGAATTACATAAGAAACAGGTTGAGTGTTTTTTTTAAAAATAAGTTTCCTCTCTAGTCTATGATTTTTATTGTAAGGTTGGATATTGTTAAGATACCATATTATATAAAATACTAAACTATATAAAATATTATACCTAAGAAAATTATTAAAGACTTTATTTTATTTACTACCATAAGTCTAGTATATCAAACAGTGTCTGGCACATGGTAAGTGCTAAATAAATATTTACTATTGAAGGATTCACTGATACTCTAAAGAAACATATTTATTAATACTTTACTATGTTGAAAGAAAATCAGTGACATTTAAAAACTGATTTTAAACAAATATATTCTGTGTGAAAAAAACAAAGTGTAGAAAAATTGATTTTGGTTCTTTTGATTACATTGAAATCAATGTAATACCTGCGTTTTGGCTCCTGGTGTCATTGGAGTTGCAAAATTGTTTAAATCCCAAATGTAGATTTCAGATTCATTAGCACCAGAGGCCACCAGATTAGTCTGTAATAAGAAACAATTAACAACTAAATAGCACTTACAAATAATTAAGAGAACTCAGAATAATCCAATTCAGAGCTGGAAAGACCTGTCTGTTTTAAGGCATATAATTTTTCTAATTAAAAAAGCAAAATGTATGAATTCCTAAAAACTATGCATAACAATCTGAAATGTATATAGTTTTTTAAAGAAACATTATAAAATTCTATTAAACTAAAAAGACAATACATCTACTGACATTTTAATATAAGACATTAAAAAGTAATTGCATGGATAAATTCTTAATTATGCAACTATATGGGCATTACTGCTTGTGGTTTGCATCTCTGGAAGGGGACCTGTTGTGGGAGGCAAAAATAAGTCACCAATTATTGCTTCAGACAAATAGCCAAATCCTAAAATAATGGCATCTATCTCAGGATACCTCAAAGCCAGCCTCTGGAGCTGGACCAAGATAGGGCTAGCAAAATCTCTTGTCTTAAATCCTCACATATTTATTTATTAAAAATTTTCTTTTATTGAAGTATAGTTGATTTACTTCAATTAAAAAAAATAGTTGTTTTAGTTTCTGGTGTACAGCAAAGTGATTCAGTTATATATATATATTATCATATTCTTTTCCATTATGGTTTATTACAGGATATTGAATATAGTTCCCTGTGCTATACAGTAGGACCTTATTGTTTATCTATTCTATATAAAGTAGTTTGTATCTGCTAATCCCAAACTCCTAATTTAGCCCTCCCCTAGCCTTTTCTCCTTCGGTAACCATAAATTTGTTTTCTATGTTTGTCCTCACGTATTTACATTTCATTTATGCTCAATCTTGTTACATTTCATTTATGTTCAATCTAGTTCCTGGTGGCACAATTTTAGGGTCAAAAAGACCCTAAAATTGTGATATGAAGTACAGGAAGATAATGAGGTTCATATACTGACCTTCATCCTTTACTGTTCACTCTCATTAATACTTCTATAAACAACTGACATATAACTATGAAAACAGAGGAATTCTGGTAGTAGCCATCTATGATACAAGACACTAACCAAAAATCAGCAGCTGATTAATCCAATTAACAAAGGAATTAGCTATCTAATCTGAAGAGTAGACGCAGAAATGAAGAAGTTAGGGTTTCTATATTTCTATACCCAAAGTATCTATTTATAATACAAGAAAAATAACTATTTTAAACTTTCTTAAGATAATATTCAGGCTTCCCTGGTGACGCAGTGGTTGAGAGTCCGCCTGCCGATGCAGGGGACACGGGTTCGTGCCCCGGTCTGGGAAGATCCCACATGCCGCGGAGCGGCTGGGCCCGTGAGCCATGGCCGCTGAGCCTGCGCGTCCGGAGCCTGTGCTCCGCAACGGGAGAGGCCACGACAGTGAGAGGCCCACGTACCGCAAAAAAATAAAAAATAAAAAAAATAAAAATAAAAAAAAGATAATATTCATTTTCTGGTTATACTCAAGTATCCTAATAATTCAAGATCTTTATTTATTTTTAAAATTTATTTATTTTTGGCCGTGTTGGGTCTTCATTGCTGCATACTGGCTTTCTCTAGTTGCAGCGAGTGGGGGCTACTCTTCGTTGTGGTGCGCAGGCTGCTCACTGCAGTTGCTTCTCTTTGTTGCAGAGCACGGGATCTAGGCACATGGGCTCAGTAGTTGTGGCGCATGGGCTGAGCTGCTCCGCGGCACGTGGGATCTTCCCGGACCAGGGATGGAACCCGTGACCCCTGCATTGGCAGGCAGATGTTCAACTGCTGCACTACCAGGGAAGCCCTTGAACCCTCCATTCTTCAAACAAATACACTCACTCATCAATCTGCACAGGCACAGTTTTAGCTTTCAATTTCAAGACTGAGGCACAGCAGATTCATATACTTATATAAAATAAGCAGCACATTATCTCAAGAATTAAGAATAAATGTCAAAAGTCTAACCTGGAAAATGTTCACATCCAAGGCTCTCACTGGGCCAGTATGTTTGTCATTCTGGGCAATCACAACTTCCTTATCACCAGCTATAATTTTAGAAGGATCATAAAGAATAATATTTCCATTTTCACCACCTGCAATCAGAACTCCAGAGACATCTCCTTTGAAATCCATCTTATGAGGCCCCCAAATCAACTTGTGGTACCTTTAAGAGAAAATGAGCAAAATAACTCTTTTTTGAAGTCAAATAAATGTAGAAAGGAATCTGAAATTATACATTTAATTGTTTTCATAAATACTTCAAAAACACTGCTTCTCCTCTATTTCTGGTAACTGCATAACTTGGTGAAATGGCATTTTAGTTTTTATTTATACTCATACATACATGTTTCATTTTGTAATCTTGAAGAGTATAAAAACTCTTTTGTAGAGCTAATATGACAAAGTACACTTGATTTGTGTGTCAAAAGATATGAGCTTAAGAATGGTTTTACCATTTAGAATCTGTGAGACCCTAAGCCAGTTACTTTGGTTCATTTATAAAATAGAGCTAATCAACCACCTCCCTGATTTTACTTGACTACAGAAGTACTAACAAATTACTTGTTAAATAGTAAAGGAGTTAAGGGAGTCATCTGAAATTTTCTAAGAAAAATAATGTATTCTGAGAGTAGAAAAGTGACATCAAAATTATGTCTATTATGACAAGTACCCCATTGGTGGAGAATAAAAGATTATGGTTTGGCAAGGTGGCAGCGTGGAGATATACAAGACAAATGGTGGTGAGGAGAAAAACTGCTAGACAAAAGGTATCTGGGGTTCCCATCACAGTGGGAGGGCTTGGAAGACTATGGGAGGTCCCATGAGACTCCATCATCTGAACTGTATTGTTAGCTAAGGTAAAACTCTTCCCCAAAACTTGCCAAGCTATTAAGCCATAAAGCATAGTTTACTACTCAAAGAAAAGTGTCCTTCTCTGCATTATAATACAGCTTAAGTACTTGGAAAGGTGATCTAAACACCTATTGTATCAGAAATCATGTCAATAAAATTCTCTGTGAAATGTATTTTTAAATATAGATAAGTACAAGGGGAAAAAAAAAACCAACCTCCATTCAGGGAAAATCACTATTAATATCTTAATATTCATCCAACTACTCCTTTTTCTAGTCGTACCTACCTTTTTTTGTAAACAGGTGAGATAAAGGAGATAAAAGAAAGTAACTCTACTATATCATATGAAGAAAATACTAGAAACTAGAGCCTCTCCTTCCTATCCTACACATAACAGTCAGTAGTAAAAAATTCAATAAAACAGATAGACACTTCTTTTACTTCCGTAGAAATGCACTCGCATTTTTTCACAAAATATTTCACGTCATTGATAGTATTCCTTACAGTTTCTAATAACGGAACATCAACCACAACATATAACTGAATAATCATGTGAATTGAAGGTTGAATCTCATACCTGTGAGAAGAAGAGAAAGTGGCACAAGATTTCATATCCAAGGATGGATCAGAAAGGTCTAATTCAAATATCTCAAGAGAAGCACTGGTACTAAATGTTGCATCCAATTGTTGAGCAGATGTTCCTACAGAAAATACATTCATGGTAACTACACATGCAAAAATAAAAGACTCAGAGAAAACCATACAAAATAATGCACACTTTTCAATTATCTCACTCATGAATGCTGCACTAGTGGTTGAAATCTCAGCACATATACCACTGAGCAGATGCTTAAATTACTATAGCAATAAGATTCTGATGCAAGGCTCAGAGATGATGTTTGTACGAGTGGGTAGTGAAGATAATTTTTTAAGCCTATAGATATTTTAAAACCTCTCTGTATAAACAGCCCCATGCTTATAGTTACATATGATATAACTCCAACTTTTTATATAAAAATGCTAGCATCAAAACTGTTCTTCATTCATTCAAACTGATATTTTATTAACTTTTTTACATGTTATCTATTGTGCTTAATACTGGAGGAATAAAGATAAAGCACAATTCTATGAAGTGGGGAAGACACATGATTAATGCTATGATGTACAAGCACAGAACTCAGCTGATCCGAAGGTTGGACATTATCTCGCCAGGGAAGGAGAGACTTTCTAGAGGAGATGAAGCTTGAACTGAATTTTAAAGGACAAGTGTAAATAAGTCAGATGCGGAAGAGAAGGAATTAGGTGACTCATACTATCTTCTCTCTGTTGAACTTACCTGTAGCTAGGTAAATGGGATGATTCTGGGCAGGGCTCCATGCCTGCATGGCTGTACGATCTATTTCCTTTAACTTCATCCTGCTAAAGAGAGTATTTCACACAGAAATATAATAAACATGTAATACGGAACAAAGAAACATTTTTTTACATAGAAATATACTAGACAAACCAATACATCATTAGTAGTGCTGGAATGCCAGTAAGTCAAATTGGTCTACGTATCATTTGTTGGGAAATGTTCAATATTAGAAAGAAGAGAAACTTGTTAAATTATTTTGAGACAAATATAGGGCTATTCTAACTGTTTACATATTATAGCTCTTCAGTTGAAAAATCAGTCTGGAAAGAAACCTGCAAAAACAGGGACAGTATTTGGTTAATTAATCTTGGTACACAATATGTTTCTCAGACAAGACAATATGGGTGGCAGTATATCAGGGGTAAGAGACGGCACATAATAAACAAAGTGCATCTTCCTGGAGCAGAATTACTCAACAATAAGAGCAGTTTGAAAAATTAATTTAAATTAAAACAGGCTAACACAGAGGAGAATAAAGCAAACCCACAGATTTGATAAAGATAAAGCAGAAAATTTTTTTTGAATGGTCACTCCAAGTTACAAACCCACATGCCATTATTTTATATATTCTCTGTTAAAGTTACTCTGGTAGAAAAATTCAGGAGGTACTGTGCTATAGCATAAAAAAAAAATTTGTTATTTTACATAAATGCATTCACATGGCATACTATTCCACTGTAAGATGTACCATAATTTAATTACTTAGCCTGCTACTGATGAACACCTGAGCTGTTTCTAATCTTTTGCTATTTTTACAAACAATGCTGAAATAAATGGCCATATATACATGTTATTTCACTCATGGGCAAGGAAAGCTGTAGATTTCCAGAGGTAAAACTGATGCGTTAAAGGATAAAAGTAATTTTAATTTTGATGGATACTCCCAAGTTGCCCTCCATGGCAACTGTACCTTTTCATACTCCCAAGAGTAATCCATAAGTAGCTGCTGCCCTACAGACCTTCCAGGGTAACCAGCATGATAGGTGAAAAATGTTAGCTCTGGATAGTTGTAATTTGCATTTCTCATACTATAAATAACGTTGAACATCTTTTTTTATATGGTTATGGGTCATCCATATTTCCTTCTCTGTCACCTTTTCTGTCTATTCTTGTCTATATCATTTGCCCATTTTTCTATTAAGCTATCAGACTTTATCTTTGATTTTGCTTATTTTTTTTTACCTTTCACAAAATTTCCATTTTTTTAAAATAGATTTTATTTATTAGAGCAGTTTCAGGTTCACAGAAAATTTGAGTGAGAAGTATAGAGAGTTCCCACATACCTCCCTCCCTTGCCCTCTTGCCTCCCAAACGCAGCCTCCCCACTCATCAACATCTTGTACAGCGCAGTGGTATATTTGTTACAATCAATGAATCAACACTGACACATCATTATCAACCAATGTCCATCGCTTCCACTAGGATTCACTCTTTGTGTTGTACGTTCTATGGGTTTTGACAAATGTATAATCCACCGTTTTAGTATCATTCAGAAGCTTCCCTGCCCTAAAAACTCTCTTGTGCTCCACCTATTCATCCCTCTCTTCCTCTGTCCCTCCTCTTCCCTCCCTCCCTGGTAACCACTGATCTTTTTTATTGTCTCCATAGTTTTGCCTTTTCCCCGAACATCATTTAGTTATAATCATACAACATGTAGCCTTTTCAGATTGGTTTATTTCACTTAGCAATAGGCATTTAAGGTTCCTCAACGTCTTTCTGTGACTTGATAGCTCATTTCTTTTTAGCACTGAAAAAATATTCCAATGTATCAGTGTACCATTTTTATTTTTTCACAGTCAAATTTCTCACTTTAAAAAAACTGGTTTCTGAATTTTGATTAGTTAGAAAAGGCTTTCTGCATGCTACAGTTATGAAGACATTCATCAATAGTTTTCTTCTAGCAAATTCATTTATGGCTTATTCTTTTTTTTTTTTTTTTTTGCGGTACGCAGGTCTCTCACTGTCGTGGCCTCTCCCGTTGCGGAGCACAGGCTCCGGACACGCAGGCTCAGCGGCCATGGCTCACAGGCCCAGCTGCTCCGCGGCATGTGGGATCTTCCCGGACCGGGGCACGAACCCGTGTCCCCTGCATCGGCAGGCAGACTCTTCAACCACTGCGCCACCAGGGAAACCCTACTTTTTTTTTTAAAACTAAACTTCAGAATAGTTTTTGAAGAAAAACTATTTTTTTTAGTTTAGTTTTTAGAAGAAAAAAAGAACGTTAGTGTTTTTTATTGAACCTGTACCCAAATTAGTAAATTAATTTATGGAGAACTGACACAATGCTGAATCTTCCTATCAAGAACTTGCTGTCTTTTGATTTAAGCCTTCTTTTTTATCTTTCAGTATCGTTTGAAATTTTTTTGATATATTGGGTTTGCTTACTCCTAAGTATTTTCTTTTGGTTTGTTTGTAAATGTGGCTTTTTTCCCTTCCATTATAATGTCTATGTTCTTATTGTTATACGAAGGCTAATGATTTCTTTACATTCATTTTTAATTCTGCTATCTTACTGAATTCTCTTCTTGAAGTAGTGCTTCAGTAGATTCTGTTGGGTTTTCCACATATACACTCATACCATGTGCCAACAGTGACAGTTATTTCCTCATTTCAAATTGTCATTCCTCTGATATCTTTCTCTTGTGTGAGCTAGCCAGTACTAATGGTACCATATTCAAGAGTAGTGATAACAGCGGTATTTTTGTCTTGTTTTGTTCTTCAGTGAGAAAGCCTATTGTATCACCACTGAGCATGGTTTTGGAATTTGAGATATACATACATATATTTTTGTGTGTATATATACATATATACACACGTTTATATCTGTACTATATATATATATGGAAATGGCCAATGATTACTGTTTTACTGAATGCTATTCATAAAGACTGGGTGTTGAATTTTGTCAAATGCTTTTTCATTAGGTAATTGGAGATGATCATATGATTTTTCTCCCTAGGTCTACCAATAAAACAAATTACACTAACAGATTTCCTAATATTGAACCATCTTTTCATATGCTGAATAAACTTCTCTTGACCATGATGTATTGTTCTACTACTGTGCTGCTAGATTTTGTTTGTTTAAAAGTTTCACTCCTAGAGCCTTAAGTGAGATTCAATCGATAGTTTTCTCCTTTTGTACAGTCTTTGTCAGGTTTTGGTATCAAAGTTATACTTGCTTCATAACAAATGTGGGAGTTTTTCTATGTTCTGGAACACTTTCAAAAACAGCATTGGAATTACTGGGTCTTTAAAGATTTAACAGAATTCTCCTGTGAAACATCTGGGTCTGGTGCTTTTTGGGGGAAAGTACTCCTTTGGTAATTTTCTCTATTTCTTCTATGGATAATTGATCTATTTGAAATTTAAAAAAATTAATTAATTAGGCTGCATTGGGTCTTCGTTGCTGTGCGCAGGCTTTCTCTAGTTGTGGCGAGTGGGGGGTACTCTTCCTTGTGGTGCGCAAGCTTCTCACTGCGGTGGCTTCTCTTGTTGCAGAGAACGGGCTCTAGGCATGCAGGCTTCAGTAGCTGTGGCATGCAGGCTCAGTAGTTGGGGCACACAGGCTTAGCTGCTCTGTGGCATGTGGGATCTTCCCGGACCAGGGCTCAAACCCGTGTCCCTTGCATTGGCAGGCGGATTCTTAAACTCTACGCCACCAGGGAAGTCCTGAATTCTCTTTATTCAAGGTCATTTTTTGTAAATTACATTTTCCTATGATATTCCTTTATTTTATTTTTTTTACAATTTTCTAATTTATTTGTTTAGACTCAAACGTAGACTCATGATTCTTTTATTCAATGTTATTATTTTTTAATATTTATTTATTTGGCTGTGCTGGGTCTTAGTTGCAGCATGTGGGATCTTTGTTGCAGCATGGGGGATCTGTAGTTGCGGCACACAGAATCTTTTTTTAGTTGTGGCATGTGGGATCTAGTTCCCTGACCAGGGATGAAACCCGGGCCCCCTGCATTGGGAGCTCAGAGTCTTAACCACTGGACCACCAGAGAAGTTCCCCATAATTCTTTTAATTTGTGCTGTGTATGGTGATTAGTCCTTATTTATTAAGAATATTTGTGTTTTGTTTTCCCCTACCCTCCTTTTAAAAATTAACTTAGCTACTGACTTGCTTACTGAGTATTTACAAACAGCCAAATTTTGGATTTACTTATTCTACTTTTCTTGTTTTTGAATTCATTAATTTCTGCATTTATTTTTTTTTATTTTTTTAATTTATTTATTTTTTTTTGCGGTATGCGAGCCTCTTACTACCGTGGTCTCTCCCGTTGCGGAGCACAGGCTCCTGACGCGCAGGCTCAGTGGCCATGGCTCACGGGCCCAGCCGCGCTGCGGCATGTGGGATCTTCCCGGACCGGGGCACGAACCCGTGTCCCCTGCATCGGCAGGCGGACTCTCAACCACTGCGCCACCAGGGAAGCCCTGCATTTATTTTTATTAATTCCTTCCTTGTACCTTCTTTTGGTTTACTTTGTTCTTTTTCTAACTTTTTAGTTAAATGCTTCACTTACCCATTTTTATTATTTCTTTAGGCTTTGAATTTTCTCTGCACACTGCTTTAACTGGATCCTATACATTACTAGTGTTTTCATCATTATGATCACCCATTTTACAATTTCCATTTGTATTCTCCATTGATACAACAGTTTGAATTTAATATCCAAGTGGAGGGGCCTTTATTTTTACTGCATTGTGATTTTTCTGTACTATTTCTTCTTTATGAAATTTATGTAAGTTTTCTTTGGGGCCTATGCAAGTTTTTTGTGAATGTTCCAGAAGACCTAAAAAGAAGGGGTGCTCTGTTTTCAGAGTTCAATATATGTTAATCAAGTCTATCCTACTGACTTAATTGTTTAAGTCTTCTATATACTTATTATTATTTTTTTCCCCACTTGATCTGTCCTGGATCAAGAACAGCAAATTAAAAGTATCCTGCTACTAGTGCATTTGTGCCTATTTCTCCTGGTATCTCCTAAAACTTG